TCTAATTCTGCTGATCAACTAACTAGGCTCCTTCATTTAGTTCAAGAAGAAGGTAGGATTAGAGGCCTGGCTCTTAATGAAGAAAAGTGTGAACATATGTCTCTGAACACTAATCGTCGTATCTACTACCAACCATCCACTAGCACGCCATGCCCTTGCCAGTTTTGTACAGGTGACCAGCCGGTACTCGAACCAGTGCCCTTGGCCCAGGAAGTGAAGTACCTGGGCGCCTACGTGGATGATACTTCAGCTAACAACAAACACTTACGATATAGGATTTCACAGGCAATCGCTGCCTCAAAGTCGCTCCGTCCTTTGACGGGCCATAACGCGCTCCCTCCTTCCTGGAAACTGCGTGTTTATCGGGCAGTCATTCAATCCATTCTCCTTTATGCGATGGAAAGCGCTACCTTAACGCAGTCCCAGCTTGTCCACTTAGATTCAATACACTATAAAAATTTGCGTCGTATCTTTAAGATCAAGTCCTCCTATTACCATAAAGTTATTGATCCCTCCAATGCACCGTGCTCTAACGAGTACTTACATCAGTTAGCTTATAAATCAGGCCGTGCCTTACCTCCCTCCAGACTATATTCCCAAAATCGTTTAAAGCTCATGGGACACCTGCTACGGCATTCTGACACCTTGGAAAGTCAGGTGGTTTTCACAAGTACGCACGCCTACCGCAGAGGGTATGGCCGTAATAGAACAGGGCGGCCCAGAGTGCATTGGGCAGCCTCATGCCTCACAGAGGCATCACAAAGACTGCAGCATATGCAGTCGGATCTCCCTCCCTCTAACATCGATTTGCACAATGCCTACTTTCGTATCCCCAATACACAAGAAGTCCTCTCAGCACATGGCAGCACCTCCATGGTGCATCTTGATACGACCCGCTTGTACAGGACAGTGGCTCCGGTCGCCACTGATAGACAGCAGTGGCAGCTCCTACTAAACAAACCAGCCAAGATTAATTCCCATTGAGAGCTAACTTGTTTTAGCTGCTTTTCTTTTCGCTTTCCCCTACGGCTTTGAGACATGTCGGTGCTGACGGCTGCTAACCAGCAGCTTTCGCGTTGAAAAAAAAAATCAAAAGTGCGAGGGCATTTGAAAGGGGGGGCACGTGTTGGTTGTTGAAGGGCCAAGGCAGTGCCTCGAGTCGAGGAGACAGTGTTTCTCCGGAGACCTGGCCGGCGGGCCCTCAAACAGGTTGCCCAATACCCCAGCCCTCTTCAAGTATTCACGTGCACTTCAGCCACGTTTGCGAGCAAAAACTCTTCGTTGCTCATGATTGCTTTCTGGGTGGTTGGGAGGGGGTTGCAGCGAAAGGGCTTGTTGGTTTCCACAGCTCTTAAATTCGCTACGTCTGCCCCCAAATCCCTACGAACAAAGGATTCCCAGCAATTGCATCAGCGCGAGTGGCGCAAACGATTGGGACTATGTGCGGACGGTGCTCCAGGAGTGCCGACAAGGGCCTTCAGGTTGCTATTGTATATAAATATATGTATAATATTCATATATAGGGCTTAGGGCGTAGTTCCCAGAGTCAAGAAAAGTGTCGAACTGCTCCAGAGGCGGTGACTGGGGGCGCAATTTGCAGCACCGCGGGTTCGGGCAGCTGGTGTGGAGACAGGACTGGCTGCACATGGTGGCAAGAGAAGGGTTACCAAGTTAATCTGCACAAAAGCATGCGGAGCACGCTGTATCTGATCCAAGTTTCATCGTGAGACAAGTCGTTGGTGGCCAAGTGCTGGGCAAAAATAGAGCACACACTCTTCTTGAACTGTAGATAGATGCCGTTTCAGTTGTTTTGATTTGCTTCGCCTTCTTGCTTGGCGTTGCACTTTCCACATGGTTTCTTGCACTGTGAGGAGTTTGCAGACTATTGAAGTCCATTTTGAAGGGTCCAGCTCCGGAATGTCTGGAGCTTTCGGAATCAAAACTCTCCCAATCTTGTGTGGCGTCTCGAGGATGCATGTGATGGGTGCTCCTTGAGCCTTGCGTTGGATCTCAAAAGTGCCAAAACTGCCCCGATCTTTACCGGAGTGTGTGTTGAAGTATTCTCCTCTATCCTGGAGATGGTTTGGAGCGGACTTCGAGGCTCCTGTTCTATTCTTTCAAGTGCCCTTCGGGGTTCGTGACGGTTGCGACGTCTGCCTCAGGCTTGCGCGAACTTCCCCAAGTTTCGGTCGAAGCGGCGAAGTGGCGTTTTGTGCCGAATTGTCTTTGTCCAATGTCCATCCGGACCGGGCTCGGGTCAAGGGTCCAACTGTTCGGGGCCATGCTTAAGAACAGCGACTGCTCGCAGAAGTCACCCATGAAGTCATCTGAAATCCTTCCGCGCAGAGCCCGAAGAATGGAGTCCTAAACCCGAAACCCTGAACCTTAAACCTTACATCCGAAGTCCTAAGCCCCTGTACAGGTCCAGGATTTACCTCACTGGCCAGTCCATGGGCGGCATGTCTGCCCTGCAGTTCGCCACGCCAGATCCGGCGTCAAGGCCCAAAGCGCCGGATGCATGTAATCTAGCATCCATGGGAACTGAACGACTACAACCCGCTATCAATCCTAACTCCGAAAATCCCAACCCCCCCCCCCAACAGAACAAGGACATATATATATCCATATATATATATACACACACATAAACTCATCAACACTCCAGGAGATCAGCGCATCCCAAACCTAAGCCCTTAAACCCTGACCCTGAAGGTATTTCCTGGGGCCTCTGCGACCTGCGGGCATTGCGGCTTGCAGCCCGGGTGGGTCACGCAACAACGATCTGGAGCTGGAGGGCCACGTCCCCACACTTCTTATGCAAGGCTGGTGGAGGTTCTTTTTGGCGAAACGAAGGTGTTCTTTGCAAGGATTGTGTATACAGGAGGTGTCTACATGGATCCGTCTCAGAATCCAATTCTTCATGTCGCTTGCTCCGCAGCCTTCCAACCAGCACCTCTGATGTTTTGATGTTGGTATGTTTTGCCCTCGCGGTTCCCAGGGATTGAGTGGCGGCTGGCGATGATAGCCCACGAGCCCAAATGTGGACACTGCGACAGCAGTCCGTGATGCACCGCAAGCAAAGTACTAAACTGACCATGGCGAGATGCCGACCCCAAGACGTTTGATCTTTGCGAGTGTCAGCATTGGAGACGCGAAGACAAGTTCAGGTTCGAAAGAACGATGACAGTTAAGAGGATCCCGACCCTGACACGCCTGTGACTGTTGCGCTGACCCTTTGGACTCAACACGATGGCGACGTGTTTGTTTCCGCAAGATGAGTCGCGCTGGCGACAGAGCGAAAGTCCGCCGAGGCTTCACGGACACATGCGCGCGAGCTCGAGTCAAACTCTGGACCCCAGACCCCCAAACTTTTAAACTTTAGACTGAATTCTTTCTGCTATTCTCAAGCTATGGTACTGAGTCGTGCCCAGTCCTTAGACCCCAATTGTGGAAATCTCTTCTTTTGCAGGGAGCCAGGACCTCACGGCCGTGCCGGTTCCCTGGGCGGGACACGATCGGGATCTGGTAAGAATCGCAAACACACCATCGTGGAAATCCATCATGGCCAACGACACATTGGTGAAGCTGGCGCTGGACTCACTTCCTCCTGAGTTCCACAACCTTACGCGTCAGGACGTCCTCCTCTTGGCCGACGTCCGCCAAGGTGGTGCATTGCTTGCTGCGTACCTTCCCGGGTTGACAGAGGCTGCTGGCTTTCCTGACCGAAAGGGACGGATGACTGGCATCAGCTCAGGCGCATTGCGTTTCCCTTCCCAATCCTCTTTGCCTCACCCGAACTACTTCGTAAGGTCCTTAACCACGATCTTCCGGGGCCATCTCGTAGAGGATATGGGGGGAAAGATTCTGTGCACGGCTTTGCGGACCCCGCACCGTCAGGTGGCTACATGTGGGAGCCTCTGTCAACCACCCTGGAGCGCATTCTTGGAACAGATATTTCGATTCCCAGCTCGTCATACTCAGCACTGTTGTCCTTGCTCATTTTGCTCACTAAGGAGCAGAATTGAACAGCTTTTTTTAACAGCTTGCCAGAGTGCAAATCTCAAGACATCTTGAGGATGGCGGGGCTAAGATACCGGACTCCTCAGGGCCTCTCTGGCGAAGCTGCGGCCATTGAGCTCCAGTGTGCCGACGCATCTGCCCTGGCAAGAGTTTGCGTCTTCCGTGGAGGCTGGGAAGGTTTCTGATCTTCCAGGGCATTGGGGATTCCTTCTGGTTCTCTACCAGCATGGGTTCGGGTTGTTGAAGACAAGGACAACCCAGTGATTCCGCGTCTAGATTCTGTCGTCTCCGTGTGCCTCGCATCCCTCTCTTAGAACAGTTTGCAACTGAAGCTGTGTGCTCAGGTCACACATATCCGTTCCTGAAGCCGTCTGCCTTTCAAGATGACCCAAAGAAGGCCAGAGCCTTTCATCAACTCCTGTGGGTGGACTGGTTCCGGAATGGAACGTTGCGTCAGACGCCGTCCTTGCATGAGGCTGAAGCCGCTGCAAACAATAGCCTCAATAGCACAGACATGTCTTCGATGGAAGGTTACCCATGGACGCAAAGTCGTCCCTTCACGCTGCAGACCTGACCTGGCAGCAGCTGGCAGCAGCTGGCAGGGTGTAGTTTAAGGCTGCGGTGCCACTTTCCAGCGCGGCCCAGCTCGTGTTTGAGCGAAACCGCAGATGCTGAACATAGCCTTTGTTTATAGCCTTTGTTTGGAAGGCACTCCGTGGCAAAGGGGGAAGAGGGGACCCGATCCCCCAAGCACGTCGGCATCGTCGGACAAATGGGGCGACTGTTGCATTCTCATCAGGATTGGACAAATTTTGTGGAAGGTAGTTGAGGGTGGTCCGACATGTTTGGGCAGCCCTCTAGCACGCATCAGCACCCCCCACGCCCACCCCTTAAACATCCTAATATCCCAATGTCCTCAACTCCTAGCCCCCATGCAGCATAGGCAAAAGTAGCTTGGGCCAGCCGCCAGTTTGCACAAGGCTGAACGCTTGGAGCTTTCAGCCAAACTACACGGGGCAGAGGCCCGTCTCCTCTGCAAGGGGTCATGTTACCTGCCTTATGTGGTATGGAGGGTTGAACTCAAGTTTCATATGCACCGATGACCATGCTGGTGAGGCACATATCACACCTCAACAGAAGCCCTTGGGGGGTGTCCTTGGGGGGTGTCCAGGGCAGTACGACCCGAGACCGTCGTTCTTGCTGCAGAATCTCCGAATGCCAGCTGGAAGGGTGCATAAATGCACCTCATGGAGACTTTCCAGTTGCCAGCGGCCGCGCTGCCTTTGAGCCGGTGAGTTCTTGAACAATGATCCAGAGAACCTGAGACTGTTTGTGGCGAGTATGTTTCGTGTTGAGAAGCACTACAAGGGTTCACCTTTAGAACATAGGGCTTTGCCGCTTCTTGCCGTTCTTTGTAGCAACAAACTCTAGCGACTCAGAGTCCACGATGGCGTGGTGGACTTTTGCACTTTGTGACAGAAATTTTGTTTTATCAGATTCATCAACTACTGCTGGATTCGAGTAGTCCCGCAAGCAGCAGGGTTTGTATATGATTGCAGGGAGTTTGGGTGACGGAGACAGAGGCGTAATGATGCAACGTCAGGGTCTTGTGCTGTGTTCTTCGTCTTGGTGCTGGACTCCTATGGGTGGCTGGGTGACAGATGCATTGGTGACAGGGTCAGCAACATGCACGGTCCCGGGCCTGGGTTGAATCATGTCATGTCCCAGACTCCAGGCCAGCCTCCCCATTATCCCACGAAGTGCCACCCCTGAGGCAACCTCACGTAAAGGCTTCTGACGCCTAGCTTTGTGACTTCTCTATGGTTGATTTGTGGTGGGTTCTAAGACATAATCACAGGGAATTTCCACTAGAGACAGAGGTTAACAGGGGTTTTTAGTGACCTCCCGCGCTTTGCTTCCTTTCTGGCTGCTTCTCTTTGAAGGCGTCCTTGGCATTGCTTCGCGGCGCTTCTCGTAGCGGCGCCCCTGTCGAGGCTGTAGCCAGCCTTGCAGAGGCGAAGGCCAGTTTGCACTGCAGCTTGGTGTCACTGTAGCAACCCATTGCATGTACTGCGCGTTCTCTGAAGGAGCGACTTCGGGGAGAACAACATCTGCGACAGGCTCTTCAGGAGGAGGTGCGAGAAGTATGGTACGGGCAAGCAACAACTGTAACTCTGGCTGCTTGCACAACAACATTGAAATTTAACCCGTAGCTGCGCTACTCATGTGCGTTGACATCATGTGTTCGAGCCTTTGCGGGCCACCACTCATTCTCAGCGCAATGTGCCTCCTCAAGAAACTAAATGAGGAATGAAGGTCCAACGATGCAAGGGTCAGTGACCGCCAAAGGGACACCTTTGGCCTTGATCCAGTCTTTGCAGGGCTTAGGTGTAGGATGTGTGAGGTGGTGGCAGCTGCGGTCGGCAGATTGTGGATTCTGCTTTATGTGACGGAAGCTCTCGGCTATTGCTGACGCAGGTGCGTGACCTCTCTGCTCAGCTGGAGATGATGGCCGGGGCCAGGTGCCGGTCGTGAAAACAAGAAGTCCCTGCTTAGATCTTCTTGGCAGTCCTTCGTCAGATGGAGCAGATGGTTTTTTGCAAAGGCAGTCCAATCAATGCCATGCAGTGTCTCAGCAGTGCCCTGGCAGCTCAATTCCCGGCTCAGGGTGGAGCAGAAGACGCTCTCGTCTCCTTCGCCTTTGCAAGAGCTGCCGTGCACCTGGCATATGCTGCATTTTGGCTCGAAGGAACCCTGTCTTGAAGGGGTTCATTGAAGGGGTTCATTGGAACCCAGGACGTCGCAGGCTCTGGGCTCGCCACTGCCTCGCACTCGGGATGCCTGATGCGGGGGATTCGTGGATCTGAGATGCCGTGACCTGGAATCCGCAGACTCTGGACTTGACACCCACAATGCACTAAGTCACGAGCCGCACTCTGAGCTAAGGCACCAAGGAACGAGCCGGTCAGGCTCGGCGTGGCTGCGTGGCACGTGCGTTTCAAGTGTCGCACGCTGAGATAAAGGAACGGCTCTTCACTTCAGCTTCTCGAGGGCAGGGGGGACCTTTCCAGCATCTCCGGGATGATTGCAGGAAGCTCTCTAAGCCTTCTAAGCAAAACCTGCAGCAACTCCGACGCAAGCCCGAATCCTGGAATCCGTAGCAGGGAGCCGCTCGCCGGCCTCACGCTCCCCGGTGCCACGGTCCTTGAAGCAGGCCCCACGCATGTTTCTGATGCTTTCGGCTCGGGGCCATCTGTTCCCCCGCAGCAGGGGGGGGGGGGGCGGGGATGTGCTCCGCTGTGCTCCTCCCAAAACTCCTCCCAGACCCTCTGCAAAACGGCTTCGGATGCTTCGGGATCTCTGTTGCTTCGAAATCTGTTTGAAGGGACATACGATAAGAGATGCCGCTGGGCATGTTGGCCATGTACATGTTGCAACGAATTTGTGGCGGGGGTGTTCTTGGGCATTTGAGAGTTCAGGCCAGCGAACTGGCAGTCAGATCCTGAGTATGTTCATGCTTCAGAGGTCGGAAGACTCCAGTTGCGAAACAGATTCCATGCGCACATATAGGACCGATCAGGTTGGCCATTGTTGCAGGATGCCGTCAAGAATTCTAAGCATGTGTCTCCATCGAGTGGGTTCTCTGAGGCTCGCTGCGGGCAGCTTCAGGCGCGTGCGGTGCTGTGTAGACGGATCCAACACAGAGGAGCACGTGCTATCCAACACTCCACGCCCCAGATTCAGCAAGCGAAGCAGACCCCTAGACTCCCCAAATCTCCCCAAATTTGTGAGCGCAGCCCACCAGGCGGAGGTGGCCTCATTGAAAGCTCGTTCTTCGGTGCTCGAACAGGAATGGGGAAGGGGTGGGGTTGGGGGTAGGAGGGGGGGTAGGAGGGGGGGCAGGGGGCTCTTTAGAGCCATCGTGCATGACGAAGTAGGTGAGAGCTAGTGGACGCTGTAAGCAAACGGTTCTTTTGTTAGCAACCTTTCCTAGATTTTGAGACCGCAGCCCAATTATATCCGTCCACATCCGTGACGAGTTATGGTTATGGCAGCCTGCAAGACATGTCGCTCTCACCAGGAGAACGACGACTTGAAGCTACGAGTAGCGTCTGATGGCGACGCTATGCCAGAGTCTGAAAGAGAGCCACTTGTGTCTTTGAAGAACAACCTTGTTGTGTTGATGAGGCTCACCCCTTTCGAGCGTCCGCATACATCATTCGGTAGAAGCACCCCAAGGAAGATGCCCATGTCGCGGCGATGTGGAAACGCAGCGCCCTCCTTTCGCGGCTCTTTAAAGACAATTCTCTCTCATGACCAGGATTCCCCAAGTTGTGAGCCGCTAGTCATCGTGCTAGGAAACTCGAAGGATTCCGAAGCCGTCTGTGTGAGTTACAGGGCTTGGGGTCACTCTTCCGAAACCCGGGTCCTGCGAAAAAAGAAGCTCTTCACGGTCTGCTTTGCCCACGGTGGGATCACTATTCGAGGAAGTAGCAAAGAAGCGACTGGTGGACGGCAGAAGCCGCTCTTTCACAGCTTTGGAGGATCATCTACGAGGGTTGTTCCAAAGCTCCATCGTCCTGGGTTTAGACCAGTACATGACTAGCAGAGGGCCATGAAAGATCGCCATGGGAACCGCGAAACGCAATCCATCCTTCGCCCCCTTTTTTTGTGTGTCACTATCATGGCATAGAGCGTGTCACAGGCAGTTTGTGAGCTGGGAGGCTGATGTCGCCTGCAGGACTTTAGGCATGCGAAGGTTTGTTGTTTGTGGAGTTGTGGCGAAAGTGTTGATAAAGTTTCTGCGCAACTCACAGGTGCCAAATTAGCCGTATACCCATTCTGTAAGTTTTTGTAAGATTGGCCTATTGACAGCCAGAAATAATCTACAGCGCGCCGGTAAGAGATGTTGATTTCCCTGGTGTTTTCTGAAGACCCCACGCTTGAATTAAGCCTCCCTTGCTAAGCTGCAAAAAGAGGCTTCACGATGATTCCCACAGCTGGGGTTGCAGAACTTCTGTCAAGGTATGTGAACATGACAGTGCCCTAGAAACCAACACGTGACTCAGATCGGCTCCACGAAAGTCCGCGAAGCGAACCGCGAAAGACAGTTCACCTTTTGCGAAGAACCCGTGAAAGAATTTAGCACAACCAGCCAAGCCTCATTTCTTTGCCCAAACTGGTGTAGTCACCCGGTACGGCGAACGGCGCCTGGCACGTTGGGATCTAGCAAAAGAAAGAGGAGTGACCTGTCAGAATACAGGCCCAGAATACTGTGGTGTGCAGCGATCTCGAAGTTGGACTTAGGTGTTTCCGCTTTTGCCCGATAAATGAGACATCGGGCAGTTTGCGCTGTGCTTGGACATGTTCGTTGTGCTTCCAGCAAATGTCTGAGGACAGCATCGGCGTCTGCTGCGGAGATCGACATGCTCAAAGGCAGTTTGGAGAACGTCAATGCCAGGAGCCTCAAGCATGAACGGATTCAAGAAACATCCAATATAGTACCCTAAACCCTAAACCCTAAACCCTAAACCCTAAACCCTAAACCCTAAACCCTAAACCCTAAAATCGGACCAGGGCCCCACCAACTATGCGCAACAACAATGGCTACGCCGACCACGACGTTTCATTATGATCATTATTGTTGTTATTGGAATCTTCCTATTTTCACGACTGTTGCGTTTCAAGTATTTTTGTTTTACAGTAGTTGTTCTTGCTATTGTTATTGTTTTTGTTATGGTTGTTATGATTGTGTGTGCTTATTTTGTTTTTCCCGTTTGTCTCATTTCAGGCTTCCCAAAATTCGCGAAAGCATTGGAAAGGGGGCCTTTAGGGAGGGGCTTCGAGGAGGGAAAGCAAGCCCAAGGCCGGGGCCGAGGCGAGTTGTTGTTCTTCCAATTGTTCTTTTCATTCTTCTTGTTGTTGCCCAGTGTTTGCACGATTTTCATTCTCCTACTCATGCGGCTAATGCCCCCTCCACTTACTGCCTGTTGCTTATCGTGCGACTGCGACTGCTGCTGGCTTACGTTGGTGCTGGTCCTGCTGTTACTGCTGGAGTTCCTGCCGCTGTAACAACTGCTAGTGTATCCCCTCTCCACGCTTCCACCATCCACACACCACAACTACAACTGCCCCCTGTTGTTGCTTCTGCGGCTGCGGCTACGGCTGCCACTGCTACCCTTTCTACCATTGCTACAGCTACTATGCTACTGTTGTTGAAAAGGTTCACAAGCTTTGCCATGATTGACCCGACACTGATCTTCACATGAACGCTTGCACCTGCGGTCAGCCACTACACTGCACGAGGCCCAGAACCGCGCCCTCGCTACGGAAATCGAGGTGGAAGGGGGCAGACAAACTTATTGGTTTGGTGCTAACCATGACTGCCTCATCCATCGCTGCCGTTTGGCTTGTAATGCCTGATTGTAGGCCAAGGACAGGAAGGTCACCCTTCTTGTTGCATGGGCCGAATTTAAGAAATGCGGATATTTAAAGGGGCTTCAAGCGCACGAATTCATGGGCACATATGGCACGGAGCACGGACATGGCAATTCAGCTGCACGTCGCGCTGTTGAGCGGGCAGACCGCAACTTTCCGAGTGCCTACCGCCCGGCGCGTGGCAGATCTGCGGCGCTGGGCATCCGAGGATCTCAAGGCTCTTGGCCACTCTGAGTAGCATCAGTGCATGGCTCTTCTTTGAGGCTTTAATGCCTTCATAAACTCAATGCTTGACTTGGTTGCGAACCTTGAGGTTGGGATCACCGCCCTAATCGCTACTGCTGGCCGGGTGCTGGATGACCGGGCGACGCTGGCGGAGGCGGGGCTGGTGGACGGGGACGCCCTGAGTGCCGTGGTGCGAGATGCTCGGCGCCCCGGCAAAAAACTAGAGCATGTTCTAAGTCGTCCGCTTCTCAGCGCCCCGCTCATGGCATGTAGCATTCGGCTTGATGTCTGTTGGCAAAGGATTGTGACGAGCCGCAACTCGGAAGCCTTCGCACTGCTTCGCGGCGACGGATCCGTGGTCACATGGGGTCTTCCTTTTGCAGGTGGCGACAGCAGCGCGGTGAAACAGGAGCTGACAGATGTGCGAGAGATATGCGCCGCCGATGAGGCATTTGCTGCCATTTTAGGCAATGGGAACCTGGTGACATGGGGTAACCATGACTGTGGTGCTTATGGTGCCGGTTTCCACGTGTGTAACGTTCGGGAAGTTGCGGCCTCGAAAGCGGCCTTTGCAGCTCTTTTGGGAGATGGAGAAGTCTTCGCCTGGGGCTGTGCAGAATATGGAGGGGACAGCAGCGCTGTACAGAAGCAGCTCCATGGCGTTCGAAACATCCGGGCCTCAAGTTCGGCTTTTGCCGCGATCCTCGAAAATGGAGGTGTGGTAACTTGGGGTGATGCAGATTCTGGGGGTGACAGCGGCCAGGTCCAGGCTTTGTTACAGGATGTTCGACAGATTCATGCCTGTGACGACGCATTTGCGGCAATCTGCAACTCTGGAAGTGTGGTGACCTGGGGCAATGCGCATTTTGGTGGTGACTGCAGCACTGTGCAGCATAAACTTGTGGATGTCCAGCATGTTCAGGATTCGGATGGGGCCTTTGCTGCACTGCTGAAGGATGGAAGTGTGGTGACCTGGGGCCATCCGGATTATGGCGCAGATTCCAGCATGGTGGAGAAGGACTTGCAAGATGTGCGGAAGGTTTGCGCTTCAGGTGGCGCTTTTGCGGCAATCCTAAAACAGGGCCGGGTCGTGACCTGGGGCAGCAAGCGGTGCGGTGGTGACAGCAGGGAGGTGTCAAAGCAGCTGCGGCAAGTGCGCGAAGTTCGGTCCACGAACGCAGCCTTTGCCGCAATCTGCGAGGATGGTTCTGTGGTGACGTGGGGAAGCGCGGATCATGGAGGCGCCAGCAAAGCAGTCCAAGAGCAGCTGCAGGATGTGCAGGACATCCAGGCTGGGGCTTTTGACTAGGGGGGCCTTTAAGCCCTAAGGCCCTAAACCCCTCCTGGCCCTAGCGGCTTGGGGCATAGCATCTAGAGCTCGCGATTCAGGGCTCCTGTGCTGCCTTCGCTGCGCTTCGTGCGGACGGACGGGCAGCCTGGCTGTTTAGGGTGTGTTGCCTGAACCCTATATGGTTTAGGGTTCCCCCATTTTCCGTACTTGAGTTCACCTGCCCAGATAGGTAAACCATGTCGACCCTTGCCTCCTAGCCATTTTCCCAAATTGAACATTTTGCGTCTGGAAGGTCGTAGTCTGGGGCGCTCCGGACTGCGTTGCTTGCAGCTCTCGTGTTCAAGAGCAGCTGAGGGAAGTTCGTTTTAGAAGCGGTGACAAAAACAGATGCCACGTTCGGAAATGCCGCTCTGGACTTCTGGACAGCTGTGGACTTTTTCTGTTCTTGCTGCTTTTCGGTCCATCACCAGAGTCGCTAGCTGCCCCTAGCCGTCCTTTCCACAAGTCTCGCCAGCAGGCTGAACGCCTCCGGCACCGTGCGGTCTACCGAAATCAGGCGATGGCCGGGGATACTCGGTGTAGGTAGTCGGGCTGTGGTACTTGGTCGGCAGGCATGTATCCCTATCTGCATCTTCGGCGCTTCAAATCCAACTGTAAGGTTTGGCTCGGACCCTGAATCCCTAACATTCCCTAGAGCTCGAAAACCCCTGATTCCCCCCCCGCTCCCCCAAATGTCCGCGGCCGCCTGTTGCCCAGGGTGAAGAGGAGCTCCGGCGGCTGCAACAGCAGCTGAACCAGGAAGGGTCCTGAAGGGATGTAGAATGTAGAGCTCATTTAGTGCGCTTCTGGTTTGCAGAAGTTTAGAGACCTTACTCGGGGCCTTCGGTTTGTCTTGGGAGGAAAGAGGCCCTGAGAGGAAGATCCAGTTCTGCCAGCGTCGACCCCAAACAGCGCGCAATACCACGTCAGCAGCATCCCGAGACCACTGCAAGAGCCAAAAGGACCACTCCAAGAGAACACCAAGAGACCACTCCTGGAGACCACTCCCGGACTCTAAAAGCGCCCCAACAACCGAAGAGAACTCCTATCCTCCTATCCAACAGCCGAGCGGTGCAAGCCCCCCCCCCCCCCCACGAAGTGTGTGGGACCCAGGCGGGACGATTTCGAGCAAGGAAAGTGCACGAGCGCGATGTGGCACCCTCTGCGACACCAAAAGCATACTATTTGCCAGGCGTGTGCCCGGGCCTAGGCGAGAGCGCAGTCACAGTGTGTGTGTCCAAAGTGCGGGCAGAGCAGGCCTCGAGCTAGAGTCAGCCTCCCGGGCACGTGCGCCGCCGCACACGCGCGCCCCGTGCAGGGTACAGCAATCCAAGCCCTTACCATGGACCTCACAGTGCTGGCGTGCTGGGTGGGGAGGAAACGCCTTGGTGAACCCAAGGCCCCAAACTCTGCAATCATCTTGCCTGCCGTTCTAGGATTCTTGATGCAGAAAAGCTGAGCCCACTAAGCACCGAGCGCCTTACCCTGAGCCCTGCCGAACTCTCCACTTCGCAGGCCTATCAGAGTTTGGCCGCGGAGCGCCAGCGCATAGGAGTGCTTTCCCAGGCACCTTCAGAGCACCCAGCTGTCATGAACACATTGCCAACTTGGAAGGAGCTTCAAGTTGTTGAGTTCGGGAGTGAGCATGAAGTGTGGCTCTGACGAGGGCTGTCCGATCTTAAGATCGTCCAATGCTTTGTCTTCCCCCCCATTCCTCCCCCATTCCCCCCCCCCATTCCCCCCCCCCCATTCCCCCCCCCCATTCCCCCCCCCATTCCCCCCCCCCATTCCCCCCCCCCATTCCCCCCCATTCCCCCAATTCCCCTCCATTCCCCCCCCATTCCCCCCATTCCCCCCCATTCCCTCCCATATGCCCCCCCCCCTACCCACTTGCTTTCAGATCATCTCCCAGTGCCACCGCACAACTGTAGCAGGCGCTGGAGGTCGAGCGGCACATGTCCACATCCAAGATTTCAATGGCAGCTGTCTTTGCTTTTTGCTGCTTTCTGTCGCTGCTGCTGATTCTGTCACAGCGCACACTCAGAAATTGACGCCCTCTTACCGCCTTACAGTGCACGTGACCTTAACTTCAAAGCTCTGATCAAGCCACAGTCTAGCTGAGAGCCGTTTCACTCAAGAGGCTTTACTACACCATTCTTCTTAACTTTATGCGTCGCTACACCGCTGCTGCACCTCACCAACATCAACAAAAAGCCCCAGGCGAGTGGCGCCCAACACCTCGGACAGTTCCAGTGCAGTGGCTTTGGCAACAGCTCGCGCAACGATCGCCGGCCCACACGCGCTTGTGCTCCGGTGCCTTGCGGGAGCCCCGCCAAGACATCTGCCGCTGCCAGGCAGACCTTCAACAACGACTGGACGAGGCATTGAAGGCATTCCTCAGAGTTGCGTGGAAGCTGCCGGGTTTCGGGCTTCAGGAACTTTAACTCTCAAAGTAGGAATTTTGCCGCACGTAGTCACGGTGCTCCGAGTTGACCTTGTCAGCACCAAGTGCAAGAGGCTCGCATCCAGCTTCCAGCGGCCAGCCACCCTCGAGAGGCATCGGGCCTGAGTGTAGGCTGTGTACGCCAGTCCTTGTCGCTGCAAGACGCATCATCTTTTCCACCCCCCATATCAGAGCAGAAGGCCTGAGCTGCAGCAAAGAAAGTGGAAGACATTTGCTTTTCTTTGCCAGTGCGCTGCGCCTAGGCGGAGCTGGCTGCCCGGGTGGAGGAGCTCATGCGCCTGGTTCTCAGCAGCCTTGTGAAGACCCGCGGCGTGCCGCAACATGGGGATATAAGCGCTACGCTGCGGGAACCTGCTTGCTTACAACGGAAGGAGGTGTGGAAGTGTTGGGCTTGAGGATTCGGCTCACCAAGTCTTCCTCTCACCTCGGCCTCTGCTTCGGCTCAGGGGAGAACACGCAGCTCCGTCGGCAGGTGGCGTCACCAGGCCAGATGCGGCAGTTTTTGACCCATCTCGCTTCGAGAAAGGCTTTGTAGCCAAGGTATTGCAAGGATCACCCCTTCTTCCAGTAGAGGGCTTGATTCAAATTCCGTTTGGGCCCTAGGAAAACTGCTTCTAGCGTAGGGTGCCAAAAAGTGCCCTCGCAACATTTAGATCACCCCCAATCTTTCGCATTGCGCCTGGCTTCAGGGCGTGGGGCGTCCGTAGAGGTCCCACAACTCCAGGCCGCTTTTTGCGAATTGTGTGACCAAGATCGTTGCTGTGGTTTGTTTGAGGGCCTGTGCAGCATTCTGGGTAACAGCGCCAACTCCTTGCTTGCTGCGGCTCACTTTCACAAGCATGATTTTCAAAGCTTTTGTGGAGGCACGCATCCAGGAGCTGCTGCGTTCGATCCCCACTATGCCAGCACTTCGTCTGTCGAGCGGATCTCGGCTGGTGGATGTAGAGCTAAGACTCTGTCCGTCTTCACCGAGGCGAGAATCTGGCACTGCAGCAGCGAGCTGCAGGAAGCCCCTGCCCCAGTAATTTTTAGAGCCGATGTGAAGTTTCGAGTCTCAAAGCAACTTACACTTCACATGGGAGATACCGTGGATGGAGGTAGTTTGGAAGGCAGCTGGGTCTTTGAAAGCTGTCTGGGTGATGCCTCTTTCTTTCTCCTTTCACTGAAGAACTTAATGAAAAGGTCGGATCTTGCAAGTTTGGCGATGGAACGTTCCATTGCTTCGCAAGTCGTCGCTTGTGTGATCGGGGCAACGCGAAAGTGTGGGGGGTGGAGGCAATCTTGTGACCTTGCAGTGACCTTGCTGGAGATGCTCGTGAAAGCACAGCCCAGGGTCCAGAGAAGAGATTGTGACATTTACAATCGCAGGACAGCTTGACATCTGCGGGCAGGGGGGGTGGGTGGCTTTTGCTGTTGCGAGGCGAGTTCGGGGCGTCACAAGTCCAGCCATGCAGGAAACTCCCGAGACAAAGAAAGCTACCTACTTGTAGAGACCTGAGTCCTGGAGTGATCACCTGGCCTCAAGCCGCAAGCTGCGCTTAGGCATATCTCCATTACCACCTGTGCCGGCAACTCCAGTGGCACCGCTCACGTCGGCCCCACCGGTGGCAGCTGTGCCCGTGGCAGCTCTGGCCTTAGCACTAGTTAATTCGTCGTCGTCGTTGTCGTCGTCGTCCTTGTCGTCTTCGTTGTCGTCGTCGTCGTCGTCGCTGCTGTCGCTGCCGTCGTCGCCGTCGTCGTCGCCGTCGTCGCCGCCGTCGTCGCCGCCGCCGCCGTCGTCGTCGTCGTGGCCGTCGCCGTCGCCGTGGCCGTCGCCGTCGCTGGCGTGGTGGTCGTGGTGGTCGCAGCTGGTCATTGTCCTTGATAGTGGCAAAAATAGTCACGATAGTAGTGCTGGTAGTACCTCACGTGACCAGAATGTCAGCAGGAGATGGTGTCGGTTTTGCGGAAGTCCTGAGGGTAGTAGCCTTTAAGCGGCAACGTTTCCCCAGAAAAATCATCACCCTGCGCATGCTCTTCGAGGCGACTGCGCCGTCGCCTGACACAGTGGCCCTCACTGCCTTGCAGCAGCAGGTGGCTCAACTTCAGGCTGGAACGGCCCAAAGGGTTTGTCGAGTACCTGTAGCAGGGAAGGGCAGCAGAAGACCTTTCACTGAAAACCTTAGTGTACAGCTCACAACGAAACGAGATATGAGGGCAGGGCATCACTCACGAATCTACAGCCCTGAGATGGGCACAGGCACGAGTCCAAGAGCTTCTTCGTGCTGGCCTCAGCTGGAAAGCTTTGGTTCAATGGCTTGGGTACGGACAGAAAGCCTTAGGGCTTCAGGCAGTTTGGCGGGGTACGGTGTGTTCGGATGAGCCTCTCAAAGTGCGGAGGCGAAAACCACGACATCCAGCGCCGCCGCAGCCCATCCCCGCCGCAGTCAGGCCTCCACTTCTCCCAATCAAAGAGCAGGCAAAGGCAAGATACTTTGGCCCCTGAGTTCTAAACCCTGCAGGCCCTTTCGGGGGGAGCTCTTTGAGTTCTGTAAATTAGATCCGACAGGCGACGCAGGGGCTCTGGCTGCCTCCAGACGCCAGGTTGAGGAGCTGCAGGCTGGAGAACTGCTGTAGACTTCTTCATGCGACGCCTCCTTGTCTGCAAGGACTGCTCAAGCATGCTCAAGTTCACAGAACGATTTCCAACAAATACATACACTGCCGTGCACTGTCGGCGCTGTGGTGGCCTGGCAGGCACGATTGCAGGACGTCCTCCGAACCCTCCTCAGCATTGCCGGCCTGAGTATTCAACACACGCGCTCTGCCAGTGCACACTCGGCAAGGTAGGCTAGTGAGTGCAGGGCGGGTGGTTCGGGGGTCACCTGTCCTGGTGGTCAAAGCCAGAAGAAGCAAGTGAAGAAGAGGCAGACGCATGTGAGGAATGAGAAAAAGCAGATGAGGAGGAGACTGAGCAAATAAGTTTCGGTTCCTCGCCGTGTCAAGTAAGGCGAAAACTTGGAGCTCCAGCGCCGCAGCCAGTCTCCGATTCCGGCTGGCCCCGAACTCAAGAGATAAGTCATAAAGGCAGTGCATTTTTCCACCCTAGAATCTCAGTTGTTCGGGTGTTTGGCTTTTTTTGTTTTTGTTTTTGATTTTTAAGTTCTGCCTAGAGTACTACGCAGAGCTTTTTCATCCGTTTTTCACCATGTAGGGGCGATAGTTCACACAACGCAGTCTGAGAGTTTGATGTGCATCCATTCATCACCCGAAGAGTGTCATGCCAAGCAAGCATCCAAGACAAGGGTGTGCCGTCAGAATTCATAAGAACCATCTGAGAACCATATAAGAACCATATAAGAACCATATAAGGACCATATATAAGAACCATATAAGAACCATATAAGAACCATATAAGAACCATATAAGAACCAAATAAAAACCATATATCCCAAGCAGTCAGCTGGCTGCCGAGGTGACGCAGCTGCTTTGGCTGCAGCAAGGCGTCAGAACGAGGAGCTTCAGGCCGGGTCATGTTGGTGTGCGCAAGCCGGGGTGTGGCAGAGAATGTTGAAAAACCATCGCCACGGCATTCTTGCTGCTTGTGCTCGTACCCGAAGGTGAAAGTGCAAGAGCTTCTCTGCAGCGCCCTCAAAGTCCTGCAGCGAGTGTAGTGTTGTAGCTTGGGTCTTGGTCGAACATCAAAGCAGCCAGACTGTCGGCATGCAAACATAGGGAGCCCACCGCAGGGGGAGTGTGAGGACACGAAACGGTCTGTGTCCACCTCTGAATGCTTTGAGGCGAGACCGAGCTCCTTCGACGCAGCCAGTCCCCCGCTCCATCAGGCACATCATGCACATCCTGTATCGGGGCTCAGAGATTTCATGGGCTTGGGAGGTGATGCCGCCGCCCTGGCCGGTGCCAGGCGTCAGAATGAGGAGCTGCAGGCTGACGCTCAGCGCTGCCCAGTGGACCCAGCAACTCCCACGCCCGTATTCCAGGGGCGTGTTCAAGAACTTCAGCGTTTAGACCTCGGGATTGGTGCCGTGATGCGCACGATGCACACATGCAGCCCATGTTCTCTGAGCCGCTGCATCGCATTGACATTAGACTGCATCGTAGCCCAAGTGCAGTGACTGTTCGGCCGGAACGATGAGGTGAGAACCAGGAGCTTCAGAGACGCGCCGCAGATCCTGCTAGCCGAAGCCCCATCCAAAAATGCCTCTGTCGATCCCACACGCAGGGTGCTCTAGCTGAGAGGTGGTGCTTTGGCCTTGGCTGCAGCCAGACGCCAGAACGAGGAGCTGCAGGTGGGAGCTGCGTGACACAAGCAAGACATCCTCATGGTAACCAGCGGCATTGCAAATGCAGTGCACACGGTCTTCTCTGGTGCTGCTGCTTCCCCGTGCAAAATGCGGAAGTGATGAGACAGCGGCCGTCCATGTTGCCATGCCTTAGCATGCATTAGTTCCCTTGATAGGTGCGCGTGCAAGAACTTCTGCGCTCACCACTTAGCTTGAAGACAGTCACTCTCTCTGGAGTCCTTCAAGAGCACGTGATCTCATGAGCTCATAACTCTTCCCAGGTGAGAATCTGGAGCTGCAGCGTCCACAGGGTCCACAGGGCCCGCCGCCACCTCCGGGCTTGGAGCTCGTACTCTGACATTGAAAGGAACATGTAGAAAAAGAGGCTGCGCCGAAGGCTTCTAAAGCATGTGATGAAGAACGTCTCAAGGTCCAGCGAGACTTCCGTGAGCCTTCCGTGAGCCTTCCGTGAGCCTTCCGTGGGACTCCGTGAGGCGACAACGCCAGCGCCTTAGCGGCGGCCAGGGGCGAGAACGAGGAGCTCCAGGCGCCCTATGCCTTGCCTACCCGGCCCTAGCCTGTTTTGAGCCAAGTTTCCGTGGGTGGCCACAATTGCATCTAGGTGGATGTCCCTGCTTGGGACCGTTCCGTGGTCGAGTCTGTAGATTGCATTGTTGGGTCGCACGTGTCGATAGCGGTCGATTATGCCTGAAAACCCTGTAATGAAGCGACTCCTCATGCTTGGAGTGAGAGACAAAGAGCTCCCGACGGTGGCCCCTTGTAGGTCCAGAAAAGATGCAGCATGGTAAGTGACAATATGATGCTGCGTGGTTCACACCTCTTCCACCCCCGAAGAGTCGCTTGTAAACATGGCAGGCGCGTGTTCAAGAACTCCAACGTGCCAGTCCCAGTATTCAGCAAAGATTCCAGTTTATTCAATTTGCAGAGTTGGCCGGCTCAAAGGTGAAAATCTTGCGCTCCAGCAGCAGAGCCAAGCCCCACCGCCTCCCGTTCCAGGCCCGAGCAACGACGCCACCACCAGTCCTTTTCGGATGCGTGTTATGCGTGTTTACTTCCGTGTCACATTTTACCGTTGCTCGGCAGATAATTTCGGTGCCTTCGACCTTGTCCTGGGCGCAGCCAAACGCCAAAACGAGGAGCTGGAGGCCGATCTGAGAGCCGGAGTTTGCGGGAACTCTGGCGGATCGGCCAATCCATGCAACCTATGGGTCTTGTTCAACGATGTTCAAGTCACACCGTTGTGGATGTGGTCAGGCGCGAGTGCAAGAGCTCGTCCGTGCTGGCCTTATGTTTTGGCATAGGTCACATCTTGTGCATTCAGGCTTAATTGTGCCGGACTAACTGCATTTACATACATGCTGCATGCAGCATACATGTATGATAAACAAAATACATATATATATATATACACATATATTTTGCATAAATCTGCTTGTAAATTGCAGATTCCGAGTAGATGAAGAAATAGACGCTCGCACAAGCATATGTACATATATATCTATATCTATCTATCTATCTATCTATCTATCTATCTATCTATCTATCTATCTATCTATCTATCTATCTATCTATCTATCTATCTGTGTGTGTGTGTGTACACACACACACACACGCGCACACGTATTGTAGAGTTCCATGCGGCCAGATCGAAATCGGCAGCAAGCGTGCAACGGAGGTGAGAACTTGCATCTTCAGCAGCGCAGCCCTTCACCTCCAGGTGTCTCAGGCCGCATCGCATGGAGACAGCATTTGCGCCGGGCTATCAGAGACGAAGCAGAAGAAGAAGAATAAGAAGAAGAAGAAGAAGAAGGAAAGGAAGATGAGGAAGCCGTTTTTTTCCAACCCCCACAGGCGTGCCACTCCATGATGCCATTGCTAGCCTGTCAGGTGAAGCAGCGCTCAGGCGCCAGAACGAGGAGCTCCAGGCAAAGCCAGATGTGCATCGGGATGAAGGGCAGCCACGCCTCTGATCACCTTGTGCAGTTGTTGCTTGTTGTGCATCAGCTGTACATTCGTCAAGTTTGGGTTCATCCACACGATCGTCAATAGGTGTTGCTGCCAGCCTGAAATCTGGCAGGCACGAGTGCAAGGAGTCCTTCGTGCCAGCCCGAGCTAGGCTGCTGTTGCTTGATATGAGATGGACGGGTTTTCAGGGCAGCACGAAGAGGTGACAATCTGGAGCTGCAGCGGCGAAGCCCCTCCCCTCCTGGCGCTGTCCTTTCAGAAGGTCGGTGACACTCCCGAGTTTGGTGAGTAACCTCAGGCCTCTTCCCCAGGCTGCATGTGATCTTGCAGGTGACGTTCTGGCTGCTGCCCAGCAAAAGAATGAAGATCTTCAGGCGCTGTCGGGGTTTAAGGATATGGAATCCATAGTGGGGGCAAGATTGGCAGGCTTCATGAGGTGTAAATGACACTTGTTGGCTGTGAGACATGTTGGGCGCACGGCCAAGCGTAGCTGTGTCCAATCTGGCTTCAGACGCGTCAGCTTAAATGACCTCTGGGCATGTCGACCCTGCATGCTTGGACCCCTCCGAGCTCGGATCTAAGATTCGAAGGCAGTCATGGTCAGAAGTTTGACAGCACTGACCGAGATGTGTTGCCTTGTCAGCGTAATATGAGTAGATTCAGATCAAAGCTCACAAACACTCCTTGCGTGCCAGCCCACTAGCGCCACCAACCGTCCCTGCACAGCTCCCCTAAGCCACTGCTGAAATGTCGGTACGCTTGGCCATCGGGGCTACAGTAGCCTGTCTGGGCGTCCTGGGCCTGATCGCCCCTTGGCAAAAACCTGGTGAACGGATGTGAGGGGACGTAGACGGAACGGATCCGGAGTGGGTTAAATAGTGAAAACAGGAAGGTCTGATCAGCTCCTGCGGGGGGTTGCCCCGTTGGGAACCCACAAAGGTTGCCTGGTATTTCCGGAAGCCCTTGTTCCTGTGCTTCGGGGACATCTTTGGCTGCGCGCCCCAGAAGACGCACGCGGTGCAAAGTACTAATGACCCGGAGAAAGGCGCCTTGCATGAGACCAAGTCTCCAAGTGCAGGGGTCACCTGCACACTGCTTGTGTGGTAGGCGACGCCAATGCCAGAACCGTGCAGGGCACTGTCGTAGGCACGGCGGGCCGCATTTACCAAACACAATTTCCGGTTACATACACAAGGCAGAAAAATGACGATGGCAAGGATAGATAGAGCAAGAGGAAGCACCGCATATGGTGATATAGCATCGCTTCAGCTTCGACAGCTGCGCCGGATCTCCATATCTTGCACCAGTACTTGTCGAGGTGCTTCCCGGCCCGGCGCACAACCCGGCACAGCACCGATGCAACTTGGCTGCAATGCGCGCGAGAGTGGTCTGTGAAATCCATGGGTGCGGCAAGCTTGTTCTCAAATCGAAGGATCGTGGTGGCGACGGACGATGCTAGCCGTGGTGAACTGATGAACTACCAGGCACTGCGGGATGCATGTGCCGGCCTCATCGCACCCACAGGAACTCCTCATCGCCAAAAGCTTCGGACATTTGATGCTTGTGTTGGAGCAGGGCGCACCCAGCACAGGTAGCTCCCGCAATGTTTCCAGTTCACCGAGGTCTTAATTGGAATGCCGGCAACATCCTGGGAAAGGCCGGGTGCGGGCCATGGTCCAAATGGAGAGCTTCTTTTGGTCAAACGTTCAAACACGTACCCGCATCCTCTTGTTGCTGCAGGGGGCGGCCTCCACCGTCTACCGGGGCTCACTTCCCAGGTGCAGAGCACAGACCCGGAGGGTGCAGTTTTTTTCTTCAGAATTTCTGGAAAAAACTTGAATCCACGTCAGGTTCGGCAGCGTGGCAGTGAAGCGTTTCCATAGCGACCCTGCTGGCCAGCCTGGCAAGTCCTTGCAGCATGGCGCTCCTCCCATGTCACATGTCTTCACGCTGTAGGAGAGCATGAGCCAGGCGGCCTGCCGCACAACTTCGATCGCGAGCTGGCGACTCCGACACCGTTTTCGGTAGTTAGCTTGCAGAAGGTGACCGGCGTAAGGCAGCGGCGTCTTGGGAGCCCTTGAGTTTCTTGTGTCGTGCACACGGCACCTGAGGAAGCGCTGTGTCAGTGTCGCCATCCACACATCCTCGAGATCTTGGGGAGGTCACAAACAGGAGCAGTCAGAAATCATGATGACTCTAGAGCACGTGGGGCTTGTCTGGAACTTGTGGAACTTGACTGTTGCTGGCTGCTACTGGACCGCCTTGGCAACACAGTGCACAGGACCGGAGCAGCTTATTGTCATGCGGCTCGGTGTGAACTCCGGGCTCAGGGATTTTCACCTTGCAACAGGGAAGTTGCGGTTTGAGTGTCTTCGCAGACCCCAGTCGCAGACCCCAGGCTGGCAACTGTCCTGAACATCCTGAAACTGAGGCCTCTCATGGAGGGCGGAACCCTGGCTATGGCCATGGCCTCCATGACCTGGGCTGCCCGGGCCACCTGCTTCGGCCAGTGCAGGGCCCAGGGATCAGCCGGGATCAGCAGGGGTTAAGAAGGTGGGTCATGAATGTACGTTTGGGGTCGCTTGGGGCTCTTGGCGTTCTTGTTTGTTTTGTTTTTTTGGGGCTCTTGGGGTTTGGGGTTTGGCACGCAGGCAATTTTAGATGAACTGCATCGTGTGTTGACGTCTGATTCGAGCGTGGAAGCGCACTGCTGCTTCTTTATAATTCGCGACCATATTGTAATATGGCCACATCGGCATTTTCCATTCCACCCTTCTCTTGCGACCGACATGCAAGCTTGCCCGCCCTTGCCAGGATAGTGAGAGCTGTTTCTTTCCTCCACGGAAAGAAGATGGTTCATCGCGACATCAAGAGCTGCTCGCTTACGTTGGCTGACCCTGAAGGGCCATCTGATAGGCCGACTGAGCCAGGTGCATATTACGATACTTGAGTGTGCTGCGGGCCACGTCCCTGAACACCACAGGGCCAAGACTCAGCCACTGTAGCTGCGAAATCGTTTGCCAGAGGCTACAGGATTGCATCACCAGAACCCTTCGTGCTTCGGGATGTAGCTAGTCACCAAACTCACTACAACCTTAGGACCTTAGGAAGGCCAATGAAGGCCAGCTCCAAACGGCGATTCGTTCCCCAAACCCAGCTGCGGCTGGATTCCTGGATCGCCGAGGCAGCAACATCCTTATGGATGGGGCCTTGCGCCATGCACGCCTCGCAGACTTCGGCCTTGCAAAAGACCAGGCGAGCGCTTTGTGGGCTGTCCATCTTCCTTTCTTCACTTCATTGCCGTTGCTGTTGCGGAGCGACAAGAATGAAGAATGCTTCGGCACTCCTTCCCGTGATGCCAAGTCACGCCCTGGCAGTGCGTTGATTCCTGTGAGTTCGTGCTCAGGTGAAGGGCTCGAAAACGCATGGCACCACTGGCATTGTCGCAGCTTGACTGTAGAAAATGGGAAGTTATAACCTGAAAACTACTCGGACCGTGTCAGCGTCAGTGCGTGTGCCAGCGTGTTAGCTTGCCAGCGTGTTAGTCTCTCCGTCCATGTGTCTGTGTGTTCCATCGCTGTGCATGCGACTCCAAGTACTAGGCAGGTGTGCAGCGGACATTCTCGAAGGCACTGCTCAGCGAAGATCCTTCCAGTTTGTCGTGTTATGTCCTCGAAGACTTACGATACTAGGCGTCGGGCAGCATAGGCTTTCTTCCAACGGACGTTTCGTCCGTTGGCTGGGACAAAAGAAAAGCCAGCGGAGCGTAGAAGCGGGTACCAACATTCCTCATACAGAACGCAGCGCGAGATGAATGGCCGAGACGGCTCGAGGAAGGTGCTTCGTGCTCTTGTTAAATACTCTGAACGCTCAACAAATTGAGGGGCCTGCTGAGCACAGGTTCACATGCAAAGCATGTGGTGCCGCATTCTTTGCAAAGCATTGACATCTTGTTTTGTAGCAGAGTGGGTGGGAGCAGAGCAAGATTAAAATTGTGCGCTCAAAGCTGTAAAGCATCAACGCAATCTTCCAACCGCTGATGGCCGTCTTCATCAGGAGGTATGTCTGTCCGTTCGGAATTTTTGCAAATGGCAGTAGGAGAGCAGTATCATGCGTTAGGGGACCGTGCAGCCTTCTGTTGATCTGGTTTGCAAAGCCAGGCAGCAATGTGGGAAGCCATCAAAGAGATGTCCATGGATGTATTTCTGAGGTCTTTCATGTTTCGGACAACTGTCCATCACGGCGGGTGGTGTGCATTGTTTTCGTTGAACACCTGAAAACAATCGTCATCCTTTGCATTAGTAATACCCAGTCCCAGAAGATCTTGCAGCAAGCAGCTCGATCAACCCAATTGTCGGGTTTGATGTGTCTGTGCGTGTGAGTTGTGTGTTGCTGTTGGTTTTTTGAGGTTGGCTCCCCAGGCTACATGGCACCCGAGCTGATGATGCGACCGGCCAACGAATCTGAACTCAAGGGATCGTAGCAGGAGTCAGAGCACGGGGTTGATGCGAACTTGTGCATCGGCAGTTGTAGTCGCAGATTTGTACTGCTGCCCGATGCCGAATAACGTTGATGACCGGGTGAGTAATTTCCAGATGGCGGGCTGAAAACGCATGGCCGGAGTGCCGTTCAGGGAATCGTTTCGCGTTCTTGTTGTGAGACTTTGTAAGACACTTGTGCTAAGGAGAAGACGGATGCATTTGCCCTCGGAGTGGTGGCGTGGGAGGCTCAAAGGACATGCGTGAAGCAAGCTAAGTCAGCTTGGTCAAACACTCAGTCGAGTTTCTGTTGCCCAGCCGGGAATCACACGAGGTTACAAGGCCTTTCATATACACATCAACGCCTACAGAAGATAGCATCATTGATTGTGTGATTTTGTGCTCGCAATAGAGATAGAGAGAGAGAGAGAGAGAGAGAGAGAGAGAGAGGGCGCGCCTGTGCGCGCGGGGGGCCCCCGGTTCCCTCAAGCCCTGTAGAAGAAGAAGAAGAAGAAGAAGAAGAAGAAGAAGAAGAAGAGGAAGAAGAGAGAGAGCGAGAGAGCGAGAGAGAGAGAGCGCGCTGCTGCAGGAGTTACGCGAATCCCTGCACCGGGTAGAGGCCCTCCTTTCCGGGGGGGCCAAGCGTGCAGAGAGAGAGAGAGAGAGACAGCGAGAGAGAGGGCAATGTGACTGGAGGCCCATGGTCCCGCTGAAAGATTCAATAAGGAAAGAAGGAAACATGAAAACAAGGAAATGGAAACAAGGAAGGAAAGAAGGAAGGAAACGAAAGGAAATAACGGACGAAAAGAAATGAGTACATGAAGAGCAACTAGGGAAAGAACGAAAGAAGCACCGAGAGATGGAGTCAGAGAGAGAGAGAGCGCTTCGCTGTTAAAGAAAGAAAGAAAGAAAGCTTCGCTGTTCAGCAGAAGAAGAAGAATAAGAAGAAGAAGACGTGGGGTAGGTAAAGGGGGGGGGGTAAGAGGGGGGGGGGGAAGACGAAACCAAAGACTATCAACGCACGAAGCTAATTAGTATTACAATTCTAAGCCAGTATGAATCTTGTTTTTGGTTTTTCTGTAGGACTTTTTACCCTTGCCCTTTGGTCAAGCTTTTCCCCTTGCTCTTTGGTCGAAAAGTATTTTGGGGATTTTTCTTCCATTTCATGCACTAGCTATACGGGCTATACGTAGTCATGAATTAAACCTTCCAAATTAGCCATGGAATCTAGGGTGTCATTATCCCGTTCATCCATACAATATTGTATCCTCGAAACATTTCCTACACTTCTTCGGTGGTTAAAAACCTTAACTTTGCTCTCTTGTTCAGGAAATGACCACACACACACATGGATCATAATGGGGGAGAACTTGATTGGCGGGGAGGGGGGGGGTGGGGGAAGGATGGGGAACGGTAGAGGGGGGGGTAGGAAGGGGGGTCGGGGGGTGTTCACTGCGTGGCGCGTGGCGCTGTGTCGCCGTCAGCCGGTCTGGAGCTGAGGCTGGAGGTCCTTACGGGACTGCCCGCCTGGAATGAGGACGGCTGTCATAACTGTCGTGCTGGTGTAATTCGGTGTCCACGAGGGCCAGACGGTGGCAGTGCGGCAGGTCATGCTACCCATCTAATGCTAATTAGGTAAGGCTTGAGCTTTGTCAGCGAGGATAGAGAGACCTTCGTTGGTGGCCCAGCATCCTTCACACGTGTAAACTTGCGGGCTAGCTTGTGGACCTTTATCCCTTTCATGTCACCTCACACATCTGTCGTGGTGTCCCAAGGCTTTGAACGACTATGCGGTGTCAGACAACAAGTTCCAGGCTCTCGGGTGTGCCGTGAATTCACGCTTGAGAGCTGTCTGCGCCATGCCAGAGACATCGAAGTCATGCGTTGGCACAATAGAAATGGCGCCCGCAGTGGCCTACAAAACCCTTTTTTCTTGACCTCATTCGAGGAAGCCACCGAGACACTTCAAATTTGTCAGTCTCAGTTAAGCCTCTCGAGGAGCTGTTGGTGGATGCGGTTGCATCCTGGCCACCTGCCGAGGCAAGCCACTGATTTCTTAGGGTTTGGGACTTCAAGGTTCCTTCAAGGTTTCAGCGGTTCGGGCTGCAGAAGGCCAATTTCTTAGCCTATGGGCAAGACAGTGTCCTCAACACGAAGTTGGGTCAAAACTTGTTGCTGTGCCTGATCTCACTGCCACAACACGGCCGGATGTCCCCGCACCCCTCCAGTACGCATCAGGTGCAAGCTCTCGGGGAGCATGCCGTCGGGAGCATAGTGACAGCAGATAGTTGAGAGGCAGTGCCGTAGATCAGTCTGTGCAACTAATTACTGTAAGTGCAGATCTGACCGCGGCCGGCTGGAGGTGAAGCTCACATATTTCGATCCCAACCAGCGTCAGAAAGTCTCTGACATGGAGCAGTCGAACTCGTTTCAGGTGGGGTGTAAGAATCTAGCCTCGCGAGCAGAACCATGTGGAGCCTCGATGAGCCTTTAGCGTCAACAAGCGACGTTAGCGACGCGTGCAACACGACCTGGGCAGGAGCATGTGCAGCGAGCCGAGGAAGCACTGCGCTAGTAGTGCTGGCAGGACTGCCCCTGCTCGGCGTAAGATTTCTGCGCTTGCGACCCATCCTGGCTCTAAAGTCAGTTCGTTTTAGAAAGGGGGTCTAAAACATCTGCGAATGCAGCGACCTGCCGCGAGGAGCACACGGAGTGCATTCGCTCGGTTTACAGCTGCGGGCTGCGCCGCACGAGCGCGTGTCTGCAGCTTGCCGGGAGGTGCGAAGGTGGTCCGCACCTCTCCGCACACTCCTGAGACTCTTGTATCGGTGACTGCGCCGGTTTGTCATACCTTAGTGATAGCTCGTTTTAACTTGAACGCTTCTGGTGGCAGCATGCACGGGCATCCAGCCAAGCAAGGTGGTGATGCAATCGTGTATCAATGTATCAGGTGTTCACTCTGGCCACATGGGCACATACATGCTACCGCAGCGACCCAGGCATTGAAGTTCCGTAGCCAGCGCTTATTTGCACCACGAAGGGAGGAGTGCGGTGTCCCGCGTATTATATAAGAGATCGCCTCGTAGGCACTGCTAGTCTCTAAGATTACTGAGATGAAGCCAAAATACGCCTACAGCAAGATAGAACTTCGGACTGAGCAGACTCCTCCAGAAGGTGCTCAAAACCTGCAAGTCTCCCGATTCAGTTCTCTTCGGTGTCTCTTTGGCAGCCTTTCTCAGCTTCGTGCCAACTGTGCACGAGCTGGGCTCGCCGTGCAAGAGAGCTGCACCTGGTAACCGGGGCCTGCAATGTTTTTTTTCGAGAGCTGCTGATGGGGAGGTCAGAGTCTGCTATGGCTATGGCAGCTATGGCTCCATGAAATGGACCCTATTGATCTCTTTGCTGTGAGTTACAGCATGTAGCAACTGTAGCAATGTAGCACCAGGAGGTGACCTCTAATGTCAGGTCACTGAGGTCGCCAAGCGTCGCCAAGGCTTTGCTGCGCAACTGGCCATTGGCAACGGAGAAGTTGTGTTCCGCTCTCGCTCGCCAGCATGCCCAACCTGCTGTTGAGAATAGCTCCACGCATTTCCATGCAGCATGCCAGTTTCATGCCAGTTTAGAGATGCCGCATGCTGGCTTCGCAACTGTTTCGGTAAGGGACAGCTGAGGATGTACAGGCAATACCAGACGCTTCGGTCCTCTGAGATGCTAACCGCTCAAAAAAGGGTGACCAGCCGGTGCAAGCTACCCGCTGCAAGCATGTCACCCAAGAAAGCCCGCAGCGCGAAGTCGCACCGGCCCGGCCTGCCCCCCAATAGTCCCCCAAAGTCGGAGATGAGAAGGTGCGCTGCCTGGACCTGATTCAAGAAAATGCAAGGGGCCCAGCTTCTTGGATTCAGGGTGGGGATTAGAGTTGACCTCAGTACGAAGCAGATATACTCACAGACAGGACTAGTTACAGAGGTCTTGTAGCCTTGAAGCTCAATTTAAAGCAAAGTACTTAGCTCCGGCCCACAAGCACGATGCCCCCAAAGTCCGCACCCTAAACGCTAAGAACAAAAAAGGTACACTCTCTCAGAGTCTCACATAAACGATGAAAGAACCAGATCCCCCCAAAAGCATCAAAGCTCAGAAACCTTCCAACTCGAGGATGCCCTGCGGCAACAGCTGCAGGAAAGGGGCCTCAGCCCTTCGCCGCGACGGGCTGGGGGGCCCGGCACTGACTCCAACAACCCCCAGATCACCACCCCTACGTAAGCCCTACTGAGGCTTCGACCCTGCGCACCAAATCCAAAAACCCGCAACCCCAAGCCCTAACCCTAACCGAATCTACTGCCCTTGTGTTTTTTTGTACTCTGCGAGGCGTAGGACGCTGGGAGGAGGATGTCAGATGCGAACCTCTGGGCCCAATTCGGCTCTGAAGTCCTAAGCCCTGGGGTCTTGGGGTTGGGGTTCAGCGTTTCGGGCCTGTACGTACCCCCAGCACCTCCCAGTCAAGCGCCACTCGAAAAGCCAACCCCAACTCCAAAGCTCACTAGAATATGAGTCATCACTCGCGGACGGCGCACAGGATCTCTCACCCCAGCGACCCTCGCGGCGACCCGCCGCCGAGGCCGAGTGCCGAAGATCCACGTGCGTCCGTCCCCTGCGCGCAGCTGTCCGCAGGCGCTTCGCTCGGCGCTGCAGCAGAAGGAGCTGAGCCTGGTGCAGCTGCTGACCGATCTGGACCCGCAGATGCCTGGGATCCCAGGGCATGGCAAACTCCGAACCTTCCGGAACCTTCCGGCTGATAGTTACCGAACAGTTGAACTGCAAAGAGATGGCAATGAGCAAGCTGACGAGTCTGACGAGGCATGGCAAGGTTTCCTTCGAAGCCTTTCGACTGGCATGCAATCGGCACCGATTGCCTCTGCAGGCCCTTGTAATGAAGAATGAGCTCAGCCAGAACCTTTTTGTGGAACCATTCTTGAACCTGCGCCTGAACCCATAAGCAGGCCGAGGACTTTGCCAAGCTGGCCGGTGCTCTCAATCTGGACAAGCGAGGCTTCTTTGCCAAGGAGGTGCCTCTAGGTGATTTGTCACTGTTTTTGCCACGGCTAGTTCGCAGCAGTGCTTGCATTTTTCTCTTGCCGGCGCCTGTGCCAAAAACATTACCTGAGGACCTCCTGCGAGCCTTTCGCAGTGCGGAGGTGGTGCGAAGTGCTCCTGTGGGCGACCTAGCTTTTGCATCTTTGGCGCACTGTTCACCGGTCCTGCCCAGGCATCTTCCTCGGCTGCGTCGCGTGGTCGAAAGGCGCGGACGCCCCAATAAACCGGATCCCTCAAAACACACCACTTTCAAAGAGTTTCAAAAAAGTGCAATGCGAAGGGAGCAATCTGATCAAATCTCAGAGTAGCGGCTTCGAGGCTGCAGAGGGCCCCGGCACACAAGGCCGTGGTGGCTCGCGAGAGGCGGGCCCGGCTGAAACGTGGTGGGGGAGGATGGCTTTCAGATGTTTTGACAGAATTCACGGATTCAGTCATATTCAGTCATTAAGTGCCACTCGGACCCTTTGAGCTGCCCAGCTCATCGGCTCAGGCTGCACCGCCTAGCGCTGTTGGTGCCGTGGAGGTGCGCTGGTGTTCTTGAGGTTCCGAAAGCTAGCTCCTTGGAGCTTGCGGGAATTTGCGTTCACAGGATGAAGGCGCCCCCCCGCCCCCCTCCCCACCTTTGGCCTGAGTAGGCCCTGCGGCCGGTATCGGATCAGGTGGGTGGGGGGGGGTGTCCGCCAGTCCGAACCCCGCCCACCCAAACACCTGCAGCCTATGTTGACATAAAGTGCCCGAATTTCCGCAAGAAGTGTAAACCCAACGCGCGCAGGAAAATTTTGCCAGGCTCCCCCCAAAGTTCGCCTTTGCTGCGGCGACCGCACGTGCCACCTTCGGGGTCCTAGCTTTCGCCACGAGAGCGAACCCCAAAAGGCCGCAGCACGGGTTCTACGCCCCAGGTGTCGATCTGGCTGGTAAATGCGACAGTGTGCCTTGTTTTGCGCCGATCCAAATTTTCAAATTAGGCTCAAGGCCAGCATCAGCCATCATGCATGCACTAGGTTCCGATCAGTCGCTCCTGAACCTGGGCGCCATCAAGTTGCCCTGACAAAAACTGGAAGATGATTTGAAGCAGACTTACTCGAAAGCAGCAGCGGTAGACCCAGCCATGGCTGTTTGATCTGTTTGTATGGTGCCTGTCCGCCGTAGTCAGCTACTTTCAAAGAGCTGGCACCAGGAGCACGTTCTTGTTGCGTGGACCCAGGCATGCCTCTCGTAAACAAAAAGTTATGATTCTGCTGCCGCGTTCAGATAAAAGCCTTAGGGTCTCCTACTAATTTGTTGAGCCAGCAGCTTTCGTTTTTGTATTCAGGGCTTTTAGTGGAGATGCGAGCCATTTGTCTAGGCGAAGCATCGTAGACAGCTGGAACACCTGGAGTCCTGACCCCAGATGTCTTGTATTTGTCGGCGCAGCATGTCCGCGCAGGGATAAGTGCACGCCCTCATGTACATGTGAGCCGTTTCGAGTGCTTAGTCGAACCGGATGGTGGGATTGGCGGCTCAAGGTAGTTGAAGTGACCGGGTCAGACACAAGCCATGCAAATCAGCCAGCTGCGTGCTAGAGAGCTCTGTAACTTTCTGGCTGTTTTCTTAAACCTTGCAAGTGGCAGATCCGAGCATAGCCAAAGTAGACATGGACATACTGGAGCCATACGTAAATCCACATCAAAGCTGCAGCATGCGACCAACAACTCGCGGCACCGGTCTAGCGAAACAACAAAACACACCATTGCTAAAGTTCTCAAGGCAAAAGTCTTAGGTAAAGGAGAAGACAGAAGCGCCCACAGGTCTTTTTCATTTATGAACTACTCTATATATGTAATCAATCGCAATCATATGTATGTATGTGTGTATATATATATGTCTAGACCTTTATGTGTATGTATATTGCAAGCATAATTTCTGGTAGAGAGGCTTGAACCTGAGCCACCATGCACATACCTCACAATTTGCACCATGAGCTCAAAGCGCCCTCATGACGAGCAGCTCTGAGTCCAAATGGCGGATCGAAGTCGAGGCGAGCTTCATAAAAGCCTGGCCAGTGTTCATCACCGCCTTCCTCTTCAATATCGTCTTCACCTTGAGGTGCCTTTCCAGTCGAAACGCTAGGTTTCTGGCTGCTAGTCGTGGAGGGTTGCTCGTTTGCTCATGGGCCCTCTTCGCAGAGTTCGGACCAGGCCTTTCGTTTTTTTTTTGACCCTTCAACTTAGCATCTTGAGACATGCTCAGCCTTGCAGCTGTTTCCGAGGCATACTATGAGTGATGGCATGATTATAGACATTCTTTCTAAGTAGGGCAACCAGTTGTTGAGCTCATCTTTGAGTAGCAGTATCTTACGTAGTCTTCGTGCTTGCTGATAACTGCTGACTTGATGAGAAGTACAACTGCCCACCAAGGCATATGTTGATGGACCCGGTGCTACGGTCATTCATCAAGTGCGACCAAGCTGGTCCCGGCCAAGATTTCTCAGGCAGGTACTTAGGAAGTGCGAGTGGAACCAGAAAGGTTTCAGTAGCAGCCGGACTTCCCCTCCTGCTTGAGGCAGCTCCTTCTGCAGTGACAAGAAGTATGTCGTGCAATCTGCGGTGAGACAGTCAGCCATGCTGTCAGCCACGGAAGGCTGGCAGCAGAGAGATGAAGCTTTGTTTGGTGCTGTCATGGGTACAGAATACATACTCCGGTGTATCATCATAAGTTGTCCTATGTGCACCTGTACACCTTGCTAATATACATAAGAATGATGCAAAATATAACATATTTTAAGACGTGTGGAACATGTGTCACTTCATATACCAATTATTGGTGCAAGTAACTATGATGCACCTGTGTTGCTTCTGTTGCACCCCACCCAGCACCAGCCGCGCACATGCGAGCATCCATGCTGAAGTCTACTGTGCCGTGTAAGCTCGAGGAAGCAAGTTGCTCCAGGAGGGTTTCGTAAGGCTCTTCACAGACTGCAACCGCTGGAGAAGCCAAGCCGAGACATGCTCTGGGTCTCTTCACCTCCAGTGCCTGCCGAATGCAGGTCGCCAAAATTGCTGAGCTCCCTCAAGCTCCAAACCCGGACCCCTGGACGCAGAGCTTCTCCAACCGAAAGCCTAGACTACAAGCTTCGCAAGCTGGGAGACTGAAGTGCGAACCCTGCTCAAAATTCAATCCCATGGTCTTGGAGGGCCTACTTTTGGGGTACTTTTGTGTGGTACCTTCTTTTGTGTGGGCTGGCACTGCTCAGGTCTGCTGGTTCTCTGGTCTGCCGTTCCTCTGGTCTCATGAACCGTGGTTCCTTGGTCTGCTGCTCTCCGAGCCTGTTTCGCCCAGCCCCGTGCAACCGACGGCAAGGAAATTAAATGGAAAACGCCAGCGACAAACAGGCTGAACAAATGGAGACGCTGAGATCAGCTTTTTAAGCAGCCTGTGGCGCCACGATACAAAAGGAAGTCTGCCATTGAAAAAACCACGACAAATAAAGTCAGAAGATGGAAGCATTGAGAACAAACGTGCAAATCCGGATCAATTTCCAACACCCAGCGAAGCACGCGAGCCTTCTTCAAAACAGTGACTAACATGATATTGTTGTCTTGTATGTTACTGAACTGAGAATGGGGGAACGTTGCACCCAAGCGATGCTTCAGATCTGCGTGAAGGCCTTATAGTGCGCCAGACAAGTTGTGGAAAGTGAATATGAAGAGTCTTTAACATCATTGTGTGCTTGTAAAGTAGGCGTTCTGGGACGTATACTAAGTTGTGAAATGGGTTTTCTGGTTTTAGATTGGGCGTTCTGGTTGAAAAGGGTGGAAATCCTCCCCCCCCCAACCCCCGTAATCCAACCCCAACCCCCCCCAGCCCCCCAACCCCCTCAGCCCCCCAACCCCCCGCGTGCTTTTATCAGCCGAGCACCCTCAAGCTTTTTTGGCAAACGGAGGTGGCATGGCTGCCCATCATTCTGTTTGCAAGATTAAATGCTAGCCCGGTATGGAAAGGAGATCCGGGGCCGCGCGGACCATTCTGTTTGAGCAAATGGGGGGCGGGGGGGGGGGAGGGAGGGGGGGCGTCCCGCCCACCCCGTGTGTTTTTTTGGTAATGATAGATAGATCATGTGTTTTGTTTTTACATTATTTTATTTGTAGACTTTGGAGGCACCTCTCCGTCGGACGTTGCGCAAGGGAGGGTGAACGCGTGAAGAGGGTCCGGTCTGAAGGGGCCATAAGAAAGTCCATCGCGCATTCGGACCAGTATGCAAGGGGTCTGCCCTAAAACCGCAGACCCGCAACCCTCACCTTGAGATGTTCCCCCTTATACTAGCAGTCCTTGATGGGATTTTTGTACCGCCAGTATCATCCCCATTAAGGACTTTTACAAAAAGGGGAAGATCCCAGCCTTCACCTTTTGTTGCAGGCATACTGAGCATGTTCGTGGTTCCGGTGATCGGGGCGGTCAGCGATCGACACGGAAGGCTACCGGCTTTGCGAACCTCCATCCTGGCCACGTTCCTGTCCCTCGGATCCGAGGACCCTAAGCCTTCTCAGCTGAAATCCTACGTAATTCAGGGGTTTGTTCCCCACCCTCGGTGTGGGGTTGCTAGATTCTAAACTCACTCTTCTCCTCGCCCGGAACTCTTCTCCTCGCCCGGTCTACTCCTCGCTCATCCCTGGAGTGCGCAACCTAAAGTGCAGAGTCTTCCTAGGGTGCCCAACCCCAGAGTGTCCCCGGAGTGCCCAGCCCCAGGGTCTTCTCCATGGAGTGCCCGCCACCAGAGGCCCAACCCCAGTGTCTCCCTAGAGTGCGAGTCTCCCTCGAGTGCCCAGCCCCAGAGTGTTGCTGGAGTGCCCAACCCCAGAGTATCTCTAGCAAGAGAGGGTGGGGATGTTCGAGGTAAAGTAATTTAAGTGATTGGACCTCCATGACTCCATTGGCCAAGGTTTCTTCTCCTGAACTTGGCCAGCAAGGATGTGATCGCTCTGAGGTTTCTCGCGTTTGCTTGTTCCAGCGCTTCCGGAGCCTTCTTCCCAACGTTCCATGCAATCCTCGGGGACTGTGGCGGAAATCGGAGCGTGTCGTTTACGGTGAAAATCATTTTTGCACATGCTGGGCAGCTCATAGGATGGATTATCGGTGTGGCGATCTTGCGGCAAGAGTTCGTGGACTACACCTTCATGTGGGTAGCATTGCTGGCGATTTTTGCCTTCGGGTCGGTCGTTGCCTGCCGCATTCAGGAGTCTCGACCTGTCGCACCGACAGGTCATTCATCGTCCTCTCCGAATGTGTTTGCAGCGCTGTACTTAGCCATACAGAATCCATTTTTGCTGCGGTGGTGCATTGCCAAGTTCCTGGCGTTGTTCGGGCTCAGTGTGATGTCACTTCTTAAGAGCTTTGTGCTGTCAGCATACGACTGGCGCCAGGGCACGCTGGAAGGTGCCATGGGCGTGTTCTTCGTCATAAGCGCGACATCCACCCTTGCAGGGCCCTGGTTTGTTGACCGGTACTCTGTGGAGACCGTCGTGGAACGATGCACTCTGATGGGGGCAATATCCCTGTCGATGCTGCTCTTTGCGCCCTTGGGATCCCTCTTCTGCGCCGGCGCCGCCTTTATCCAGGCTGCCGGGGCTTGTACAATCGCGGCGTCCTCGGCTCTCTTGGCTGAGCGCTTCACAGAGGACCAGGGCAAGGCCCAGTCTGTCGTGGTGGCCATTGCTGGAGGGGCCTCTAATCTGGGGAGTCTTCTCTACTCCTGGCTCTACGATGCCAAGGCGGAGGGTGTAGCACAAGCCCAGCCCTTTGCGGTAGCCATGGTGATGGGTTGGGCCGCCTACTGCACGCTGCTCTCGGCCCTAGCCAGCCCTTCGCAGCCTTCCCAGCCTTCGCACAGGCAGAGCTCGATGCAGGAGCAGGCTCGATTGTTTCAGCCCGACGATCCAAAGAGTGTCGTCATGGGAAGACGCCACAGTTTCGACCTGGAGGATGGCGGCTTACTCTAGAAAATCAGGGACACACGACGCTCATGCGACGCTCATGTGACAGCCCTGATTTAAACAATGTCAAAAAAGGCAGACCGCTGATGTCTGTCACTGAGGTCCAGGCTCTTCCAGTCTGAGGAGGAGTTGGGCCGAGTTTGTGACCGGTTTGTGTGCGTGCAGTTTGCATTCCTCATTGCATTCAAGCCCTTGACCTTGGCAGGGCTGCAATGCACAAGGGGGAGGTTAGGTTATGAGTTCTGGGAGACACGAGTGACGCGCTTTCCTCTCAATGCTGCAATGACTGCTTTTTCCAAGGAGAAGCGGGGCTTGCAGCAGGAGCTGGAAGCTTTACGCCGGGAGGAGCACTTTCCGTTTATGCAATCGCTCCGCAGAAGAAGTGACTATATAGTAGGATCTGTATCAGCAGACACAGGGAGGCATGCTGGCCCGTATTGCGGAAGAGTCTTGCCAAGAGGCCACACATGTGCACAGTAAAGACGGGTAAGAGTCTTTGCCCTGGGAGAGGGTGGCTGAATCCGTTTGCCCATAGTGCAGGAAGGTTCTCCAGCAAATCCGATGCCGCGTGCGCAGTGAGTGTAGGACCACTTAGAGTTACGGGCAACAACACGGAGCTCTGTTTGCGAGTGGCAGGACACAGCTCGCGAAGAAGCTCTTCAAAAGCCCAGGCTGCAAATGCGTCAACTGAATTTGCATATTTGATGCGAAGAACCACAAGAGCTCGCCAAGCCGGACACGCTTTTGATTCAACTGTTCGGTATTGGTGTCACACCTTCCCAGCATCTAGCGGAAGAAGCTGCAGAGGACAGTTGAGTGTAGAGCCGTCGGCAGGGCTTTATCCGTCCTACTCTCCGCTGGTGACGCAGCACCTCCGATCATCAAGGCAACTTCATTTCTGTTGCGTGTCTCCGTAGTCCACATACCCCTCATGGTTTAGGCGGTGCGTTGCGCAGCTGCATGAAGCTTCTGCAGCCAGCGGGGGCGGGCTTCTGGAATAGCTTGTGGTCAGGAGCTCAAGCTGGAAGTCAAAGGAACCCGTGAGGCGTGGGAGCACAGCACGCCATCGGGCACAGCATGTAGAACACGCAGGCTGAAGATCTACTCTGCAGTCTAAAGATTTCTGAAGCATATCCCGGCAGCTCCGCGACAAGCTTTACAATGCAGAGATGCAGCTGGAAAGCTACAAGCGAAGACTGGAGGCCTGCTTCCGATCATTGATGCCTTTCTCTGGGCTTCTCGGGGAGTGTCCTTCGGTGGGGGCTTTCGTGTCTTGACCTAACCCATTTCTTCAAGTCAGCTGACCCTGGCCGTGGTAGCTACTGGTACCACAATGGCCCTTCTGGCACACACTCACACAGCCGGCGAAGCTTTGTAGTGTGCAGCCCTCTCTCATCTCTTTCTCTCACTCTCTGTCAGGTGGATGCCCGCCAGGAGCTGGAGAAGGCTAGAGCTAGCTCATGCCATGGTCTGCCGCTCCCCGCCCCTTACTCTGGTTGTCTCAAGGAGCGGCACGTGGTGAAGCAACTGCAGGCCGAACTCGAGGAGCTGCCAAACATGGCCTTAGAAGTTACCAGCATGAACTGCGTCGCGGTAGTGATGGGAAATGTGGTGCGAGCTGCATGACCTGGTGTCGATTTTATGGGCACAGGAGAAGGAGCGCACGGTTGCCGAGCTCATTTTTGACCTTCGGCGAGCCAGGAATGCCTCCAGCAGAAGCCTCAGCGCTTCGCTGTGATGGATTAGATGGACGAAGATGGACGAGCTGCGAGCTGAGGTGAGGGCGACTGGGCCCAACGAGAGGAGGAAGCCAGTCATGCCGAAAGTTGTCAGCGGATCGAGTAGCGCTCTTCAAACCTACACGCTTTGCAAGAGGCCCCAGAGGCCCCAGAGGCCCTGGAGGCCCTGGACTGGGTTCGAGCACTTTAAACAGATCTAAACAGTTGAAGCCATAAAGATCCTAAAGCCGGAGTGGCGAACTCAAGCCCAAAACGGCTTGAACATGCCGAAGACTGCTTAAGGATCCATGAACATGCTTCATGATCCTGCCAGGAGTACATGCGACTCGACCTGCAGCTGCGAAAGCTGGGGCCTCGTCTGACCCTTTAGGGCCTTGAGGCCCCTTAAGAGGCCCCTTAAGAGGCCTTCAGGACGTTTGCCACGCTTGGGAAGGCTGCATGTTCCACCTGAGGCTGGAAGGAGAGCTGGCTTCCTCTCGTCGCGCGGAGCGGGACATGGCAGATAGGTGCTACCAAGATCCTGTTGCGGGGTTCTCTTCCCCGAAGATGAAAAAGTCTGCTCCATGCACAGACTGCAACATTGGAGGCTGCTCCAAGCCGAGCATGTGGCCATGGAGCTACGCTTCGACCGGGAGCAGGCTGAAAAGTGGAAACTTGAAGCATCAACGCTTCGCTCACTTTCGAATCACAGGGCATGGGAGTACAAGGGATTCGTGCTTTGGAGGTCCACCTCCGGAGTTCTAGACTGGAAAGCCGGGTGGCGCACTTGGCTGCGGGGTGGGGCAGTCGTGGGTTGACGGCGTCGCCGCTGACTCGGAGGTCTAACACATTTGGGGTGCTGGTACTCCTCTGATCACATGCGGACCTTTCTAAGATAGCTGGGGAACCTCGAGCGTGTTCAACGGGCGCACCTTGCCCTTGCAGGTCTGTTCCGTTCCGTTTAACGTTGGCCGCCTCATCAGTTGGAGTGCATCCAAGATACTGGAGTTGGAGCTGCTGACCGGTGGGGACTCGCCAAGGCGCGCCCTTCCATTGAGTTTAGGGAGTTTGGGGCCATTACGTTGGTTGCAGTTCAAGAAGCGCCGGTTGGGGGTGTCTTCCGAAATTCAATTTGCCTCTGTGTGATGTCTCCAGCGCTTACCTCCTTCTTGTGCATGTGATGATGTGCTGGGAGCTTGGCTGTAGCTGATGTTGCTTCGGCCTTTCCCCCCTGCAGGCAGCGCCATTCTCCGCTGAAGACGGGTGCAGGTGTTGGGCTCTCAGCTTCTTAAGTGTGCCTTGTGAGCAAAACAGCCGCTGAACAGCAACAAAAGAAAGTGATGTCGGAAAGGCAGCGGCGGCCAACCTGCAGAGCCGGAAGGACCTCGTTGCCAGTGGAGATCTCTTTTCTAGCATGCACAAGATGTTGCGACACATGTCCAGGAGCGCAATCTGGAAAATGTGATCGAGGGGCTTGAGCCCAGCCAACGAGCTTGGACTGTGTCTGGTCTTGGTTCCCAAGCGTTCGGCCATTTGTGCACAGCCAGGCGTGTCGTCAACCAGCAGAAAGCAGAGAACCAGCGGCTCAAGGTCGCGCTTGACAGGCCTTCGACTATGGGGTTCTGAGTGGCACTGAGTGGTGCCTTTGAGGCATCTTTGTATATCTTGCAAGACGACGGGTCCGAAGCACTGTATTTGATTAGTTTGATGCACCCGCCTATGCAATAGTAGCACGCTTGTGCTTGTTTTGTCAGTCGCACCAGGTGAACAACATTCCGCCATAGTGCTAAGAACAGGCACTGGATTCAGCGGCAGTTCAGACATGGACTCAGAAGGCGTTGGCGAAGGAGAACTGACCAAGATCCGAATTTCTGTACTCGGGTTTTCTGGCCATGATGTCATGCGCCCTAGTCATTAGCGTGGTTGCATACAGCTGCCGAACTTGTGGCTTTGGCGCGGCAGTTATGTGACCCCTGTGCCTTGCAGTTATCCGAAATCGCGAAGTCGCCATCACATCTCTCGAAACCCTCAATGTCAACATTTCAAAAGCCGCGCCTCGAACCTCGTCTGCTTGGAGCCCCTGCGTTCAAGACCCTGAAGCCCCTTAATGCCCCACGCCCCGAAACCCCCCAAACCCAAAAGCCCTGACAAACCCTGATGTTGCCATTGCAGGCGTCCTGACGAGCGGAGGGGTCGAGGGCGCGCAGAGGTAGAGAGGCTCCGGAAGCGTGTGGAGGACGCGGCTTGCATCGGAAGCTTTGAGGGATTGGGGTTTTGTTTATCCAGGCCTTAGAGCAGAACCAAGAAAGTAGAAGGGGGCCGGCTCACATTTCTGTGGAGCCTGGCGGGGGGGGGAGTACATCGTTGCTGCTGGAGAGGAAAGGAAGTTCGTGCTGTTCTGTTTAACATCGTTTTTCGGCCGTAAGATATAAAATCACGGGAGCCCCCTACTAGTGACTCGTATACATCTCGACAGAATTTGAGTTGGGGGCTGCTGGTATTCTTTGGGGTTCGGGTCTTGGGATCTGAGGTTGGAGTTTAGGGCTCGGGGTTGCGTCTGGCTCAAACCGATGCTTTCCAAAGCATATGGGCTGTTGTGGCCCCCGCAAGGCTTCGTCTCATGCGGTTACGCATGCTCTTCCACTCTGCCAAGTTGCACATCGATTTGAAGGTGAGATCCGGACGTGGCCATACTCTGTGGAGCTGCTGCTTCAAGACTTCGAGACCTCAACAAGGTTTCATGTGCCCTGAAGCAGCATGCTATCTGCTTTTGCAGCCGCGAGCGATGCACCTTTTCCTTTTTTGGGTGGTCGATTGAGGTAATTATCTTGCATGTTCCATGACGTTACATGTTGAATGCCAAGCGCTAAGGTGTTCATGAGTACCGGAGCGCCTTCACACAGTACGACAGCGACCTTGAGTTGAGGGCTAGGCGGCTAGACTCTGAGCTTATGAGTCGAACTCTTTGATGTTTGCCTAGTAGTCTGGCAGCTCCCGCCACAGTCTGCAGGCTTTTGTCTACAAGCCCCTGCGGAGTTGTGCAGGGGATCCTGGGCGGCGTGCTCCGAACCTGAGGCTTCGCTGGCAGCCTGGCGCAAAGTAGTACGAAGTAGGAACTTCGCTTTCAAGGAACGTTGTTCCTAAACTACGTTCAGAGCTGAATGCGTCTGCGCGTGAGCTTCGGGGCATTTCAGGAGTGGCTTTGGCCCCAACTCCAGCCTGGTTCGCTGCCGCAGCCACCCGCCCAACTGGGGATTCTATTCGTGCGCTGGATGCTGACCACCTCTAGTAGTGTCGGGGTTTCTATGCTGGTGAGTGGAGCAGGTTTGGCAAAAAAGGATCATTGATCAGTTTCGACTCAAGAACTGTTGTTTTTCTCCACGTTTTGGTGGGACAAGTGTCCGGAAGAGCAATGCTGCAGGGCTTCGGTCAACTAAGTGAGAGACCCCGTGCGGCGCAATGCCGTGAAGTCTGGAATCTAATGTGCCAGTCTTCAGGAATGCTGATGCCCCAGCGCACTGATCTTCATGAAGCGTCCTAAGTCTTGCAGCTCCCGTTTCGATACGTTTGGAAGCCATGCCAAGACTGTGTCAACCAAGACCTGAGGCATACCGCGCCGCGCCTCCGAATTGGTACGCAGAAACGCCCACGCTCTTCTTCCCTGCACCTCACGGCAGCTCCTCCCAAAAACGATGGGCATTTCCCAACAGCGCCCGAGCATCCATGATATGATAGCCCGGTACGCTTTCAAATGAGACGAAGCCGGACCTCGGGGTTGTGGGCTTCAGCGAAGGTCGCTCGCTGGCCAGGTTGATGAGATGTTGATGAGATGCCCCGCTGCGCGTGAGATCTTTGCCTCCACTTTACGAGCGCATGTTTGAAACGGCAACACATGCCGAAGTCTTGCGACGCAGATGTGGAAGCACGTCTAGCTGGCGTTATGTCTTTTGAGGTGTTTCTGTCAACGGCGAGAGGACGACTTGTTGACGAGTGCCAACGCAAAAAACTGCAGCAGTGGTGAACTGTCAGCTATACTTCCTCGTGGGGCGGGAGGATCGAGATGTCTGCCCATGGTCTCAGCCTGCCTTGTCAAGATCTCAGCCTGCCTTGTCTTGCTGCGTGTGCGCGCTCGGCTAGAACACCGGTGCATGGTTTTGGTGGAGGAAGTCGGATGCCGCCAAGAGGGCCGTCGCCAAGCTCACCAAGAAAGAGAACAACCACTTCGTGGCCTTTCTGGCCTGCCTGCTACTGCAGAGTTTTGACCGCGGCAAGACTACACGCAGTGAGTTCTCTTCCGGCGGTGGCCGAGTTATTTGGTTCTTCGTGCAGCATGCGCTACTGGCTCTCTTCAGTGGACAACGCCCCGTCCCTGCAGTCTATGAGGCTCTCAAGGAGATGCTTATTGGTGTTGCGGAGGCGCTCCTACACGAGGCTCCTCTTCAGGAAGAGGACGCTGAGGACGAGGGCTTCGGCATCTAGACGCGCCACGCGCGCGCCGCGTCTGCACACTGCCCTCGGCCACCAGGCATGACCGCGTTCGCCGCTTTAGGTACACCATGACTCTATCTTTCTGATGTGTGCCGGCCTTATAAGTACACGTTGCCCTGCACTGCTAATGAGAGTCTGCGTTCTCGGACGCAGCTTTACTCAGGACCTCCATTGACCAGTGCCCGTGTCTGAAAATCCATTGTGCTCGTCTTCAACTTCTGCCCTGCTGCCCGACGCAGACAGGAACCGCTGCCGGCTCCAGCGCGTACGCTTGTCCATGTTTTCATGCTGCGAGCCATGCCCCCTGTCCCTAGCAGCTCAGTCTTGGAGCAGCTACTAGCGCCGCTTCCCGTTGTTGTGTTGGGCCTGTCTTCGGGTACCATATCGCTGACGCGCCCCGCCGGCCTGATCGATGCCATTCTTCAGCTGCTGTTGCGCAGCGGCCTTGCGGGCCCACAAAATCGCCGCGCGGCTGGGGGTGTCTGACGTTCTTTCCCCACTGCTGGTGCAGGCCTCCTGACACATCACCACGCACGTTCAAAACAGTTCTTTGCTGTGTTTGAAACGAGATGCAGTGCAACCCCTGGCTCCCTGTGCGCGGGACTTTGCTCCTCTCGTTGCCCCGCGCCGGTGCTCCTGCGGCAACTGCCTCCTGTGTTGGCGCGAGGAGGATGCTGTGTTCTTCACCATGGCAGGCGGCATGGTCTCTGCCGTTGCTTCTGCCCGTCAGGTGGACTTGCTGCTGGCCTGCGATGCCTCAGCATGCTATTTCGACGTGGGGTGCCTCGTGAGGGCCCCTGGCCAGCATTTCCAACAACCAGCGACTTTGGCTGGCTGCTGCTGTGCCAGTTTAATGTTTTTTGTTTGCTGTTTTTTGTTCTGGTTTGCAGTCAGCGTTGTTTCAGCCTGTTTTTGCGTCTCCCTGTTTTTGCCAAACGCGTTTTGCTTGTTTGTGTGTGTGTGTGTGTGTGGCTTTGTCGTGTCCTTGGCTTTTGCTTTCCGTGCGTATGTTTGTTTGTACTTTCGCTAGTTTCGTTTGTGTTTCGTTTTTTAACTTTAAGCTGTGTGTTTTGTTTTTTGTTGCTGTTCGTTTTGGTTAGTGGGTTGCTTTATGTCGCGACGTCTTGTGTGGCTTTGTGCGTGCGCGCTGGGGGGAAACCGTTCCAAACGAGATCAGCAAATAAGCGTGGCCGACCTACACACCGTTTGATCGAAAAGCATGGTGGAGGAGCGCGAAGTAGTCAAGCTGAGAATTTGTCGGCTCACAGAGCTTGCGCCCGTGAGCACACTGCTCGACGCCGAGCAGTTTTTGCGTGAGAAAGTCCAGGGAGAAACCCCGTCACATCCCATTAGCGACCCTCTGGCAACCAGGCCCCAGGCGTGGCTTGTGCAGTTTGCGACAGCCCGAGACTGCCGCAAACGCTGAGCCGTGGTATGTGGGCGCAGCGCCAGTGGAAAGAAAGATCCGAGCGACCGAAATTTCCCTCCACAGCAGCGGCCAACAGCAAAAGAAGCAAAACGTCCGGAAGCGCCAAAAAAAAAGAAGAAATGACCAAGCCGAGCTACCGCGCGAAGAACAAAATGCTGACGGCTACAAAGGGTAGTGTTATGCCACGCCGTCGCGTGCGAAGTCGACACCCTTTTGACACACGGGCACGCGTGTAGTCACGACACGTCGCGCGAAGTCGTGCCATCAGCGAAGTCTCGAAGCGAGTTCCTGACTGTGCACGCGCTCTGCAGCTGAAACCTGGATTTCTGTTGTCACGCGCAAGGTTTTAAGAGCATGTGTCCGAAAACCTTCACAAACTGTTCAGATGAACAACTCAACAGATGAACAACTCAACACCATGCGCACGCTTTCTAAACCCCCTAAGCCCTTCAACCCCCCACCCCGAAACCCTTAAGCCCCTCAACCCCCTAAACCTCTTAAAAGCTCTAGACCCCAAGCCCTCCAAGCCCTCCAAGCCCTCCAAGCCCTCCAAGCCCTCCAAGCCCTCTAAACCCTCTAAATCCTCTAAACCCCATGAACACCCTAAACCCTCTAAAAGGCTTCCGAAACGATTGTGTTGTATTGGTTGACAGACAGGACGAGAGAGAGAGGGCATGGAAGTAAACAAATACGAGTGCTATGTATGATATATTCGATACATCTCGATACTAGAAAACTGGACGCTCTATATATATATATATATATATATACATACATACCGTTTATGGTATGCACGGCGTGCGGTGTATTGTGTGCAATGTTACTGTGTACGATGTAGGATATGTGATGTACAATATATATCTATATATATATTCTCCACGACGTACAAAGCATATTCCCTAGTGTAGAGGAGACATGTGCGTACTTTGAATTCGGAATTGCTAATTAATGTATTGTCCGAAATCCAAAAACACAGCACCGGCCAGCCCGCAAAATCGATGGACAACAAACTTTCGTGAAAATGGTTGATGCATAGCTGCGTATCGGTGCCCCTTATGGCATATACATCGCTGCTCCTTCCAAGCTGGAGCGCAGCAGTTCCCATCCTTGCAAGGAGCTGGAATCAGCCCTGCCTCGCAGACAGGCCAGTGCCGCTACCATAATCGAGCCAAACGTTCTTTGCACGGGCGGTTGCGACTTGAAGGGGCGGAGCGGGTGTAAGTCCAAGTCAAGTTCGAGGGCTCGTTGGTGCGTGGCGCAGGACAGCCATCAGCCACCGGAAGGCCTGGCACATGCGAGCCCGTTCCAACAACTAATGAGAGCTAATATAGTTTGTTTGCTGAGAGCAAAGAGCCATCACGTCTTACGTGTCCTTCAGGTCCTGCTCTGGAAGCCTATCGACGCGAGCTTGCTGCAAAGGCAGACGGGGCGCGGCACTGCTGTCAGTCACAGCAGCGACCGAGTGGCGCCAACCAGTGAGTTTGGCTGATACCTCAGGAGGAGGTCATCCTGAAGTTGCAGGAGAGGCTCCGTGAGGCCAGTGAACAGCGCCATAACGACAATCTCACCTTTCAGGACTCTTCACTATTGTCATAATCACCCGGAGGGGGCCGCTCCTTATTCGCTTAGGTGCTGGTTTTCCCACTTTGCATCCTTGGCATACTTCGGGATCTTGTAGCAGGAGGATAGCAGAAAAGCAGCAACATGCCGCACCGCGCCAGAAGAGCATCATTTCTCTTGCAACATTCAACCCTAGGCCCGAGGCCCTAGGCCTAAACCATCATCATAAGTATTCAGGCGCTTGAGCTGTGCCAGGGACCGTCAGCGGAGCCCCCGGAGATGAAGAGATTGCTGCAGGACCACCTAAGAGCAAGCCGGGTTGTTTATTGTGTAATACGAAGGATGCCCGCTACAGCTTTCTCCGGACCCTTAAGTTCCGGGACCGGGAAGATGGCTCCTTTTGGGGTATGTTGCATCCTACTGTAAGGATCCGTAGGCACTCAAAAAAGAGCCCTGAACAAAGGGGACCTGCCGCTTTCAAGTAAAACGAGCCACACGGGGTTTGAACATGGCTCACTACCTTCCGTGGAGCCAACATGTCAGAATATGGGCGCTGAGCCTGAGGAGGCAGTTTACACACAAAGTCTGGCAACCGAGTTTGAAGTAGTGGCGGAAGCATGTGCTGCTGTGGGCGGGGGGTTGGCCTCAGGAGCTATCCGAGCTGCGGCAGGCCAGAAGCAACGGCCTCAGCCATGCTTCAACTCACAATCACATGCCCCGAGAACCCACAATTACCATTGGCAAGTGCCGGAAGGCCATGCGTTTCTTTGATGGGACGTCGGCGATCAGGGGTAGTGGATCAGAATGCTACGGGATACTTTAAGTCTAGTGCCTAGTTCTGACGCAAGTTCAGAGCCCGCAAGAAAATGCGTCCTCCACAGCTCCTACATGCACGCTATGTTCCCGGCAGCAGACTGGCGTAGGGAGGAGAGCAATGCCCCTTGAACAGCAAAGAGGGCTACGCTTGATTCCCGGGCTCACAAGTCTGGAAACCGCAAGATCTGCACCCAAAGCTAATCCAAAGCCCTGAAACTGAAGCCGCTGTTTTCTCTGCTGTTCCCCTGCTCCCCCACGGTTCCCGAAGGCGAGGATGGCCAGGCCCTCGATGAGGCGCAGCGTGCCCTGCAGGAGGCTCCTCTTCGCAGGGCTTTTGGCGAAGGGGGGTTGTATGGGTTCCGGACCGTAGCCTTAAAATCTTGCAAAAGGGAAGTTTGCCCACCCACGCTGTACTCCATTAGGGTTTAAGGTTCCCCCCCCTTCACTCCAGGGGAGATGATGCACAGAATTCGCAGGCCCCACCTGGGAGCTGCCACCCTTTCCATCCCTTGCTGTGGGCCCTGGAAAGGTATCGACTTCTCGGAAGCCATGACTCACTCCAGATCCCATTTTGAAAATTTGGGGCTGTGTCCAGGCAGAGATGACGGAGAAGCGCTACTTGGAGGCCGTGTGACTGGGATGGTTCACGCACTTAGTAACTTAGTGCCATCTTCGTCATTGCTTCCCGTGCTAAACCCAAGATCTACCAAGCTTGCAAATGGCTTTAGGCATGTGGGACGTCTTCGTCCATCCACAGAACGTGAATACTGCAGCCACGTGAAGAACAACTCTTAACGCTCTTGCATTTCGCTTGTGTATGTAGCACTTCGAGTTTGATTGACTAGGTTAGAGACAGTGCCAGATGGTTCGCTTTGAACTGTTTAAAGATGCTCTGTCTGGATGAATTGGAACGGCGCTCTGAGAACACGAGTGACGTGATTCATGAACGAACTCTGTCACTCTGAAATGCTCAAGAGGCCAACGGAGCAGCGATTGCTGCAACTCCTTGTCCGCTCCTTTTCCTGCGGCAGGTGGTGCGCGAAAACCGCAAGCTTCGACAGGACCTGTCTGCATTGGAAGATGATGGCTTCTGGAAGGACCGATGCTGTTGTTTGAAGGGCACTATGCCATTGCGGTTGTGCCTCGAGACGTCGGACCATTCCTCCTTTAAAGCGTGCTTGTGCTCAGCAGCAGGAGATCGAATCTCTCCAGGCTCGCAACCAGGAGGCTTGTGAAGGTGCATCGTTTCTGCAGAATCCAGTGATTCTGCTTCCGGTGTTCTGCCTGCTACCAGCAGTTGAGCCAAGAGCCCATTCTGAGTAAGCTGGGCCTATCAGAATGTCTGTGATTCTTGAGCCCGGCCGCGTGGTCAACCTGCGTGCGCGGCGCACTTTGCTACACCCGAGCTGCCAGCCGCCAGGCCGTCAGCCTCGCGAAAGAGAGCCATGAGGCTGGCGAAGCCCTAATCCCCAACACCTGGAACACAGAAAGCTGCAGCCAAACCTGTGGAACCACTCAACGGCCAAAATCGACAGTGTGGCAAGATGTGGCAAGATTAGGTGAGTAGGGCCGTCTCTTCCTGGCCAGGTTCTGTTGCGGTGCGGGGCACATGCCGGAGTGGATATCTCGTCTCTGGCAGCCCGGGGCACGGCGTGGGATCTGTGGCAAGGACTTAGAGGCGAGTCCTTTCGGCTCCTTCTGAGGCTCGTCTTGAGACCTTTGCTGCCGCCGGCTGAAATCTTTGCGAAGCTCCAGGCTGTCGTTGGGTGTTCGCTGCCGCTGAAAAGCAGCGCAGGCACATGACGACATCTCCTCCAGGACTCCATGCGGTGATACTTAAGAGGTACTCGAGTCATCAGCCGAAGGCGAAGTACCATGTGCTGTCGGGTCTAGCAAACCGGACTGCGACGATAGCTTACCTGCCCCAAAGGCCCTTAAAACCGCATAATTCAAGCTGCAACCAATTCAGCATTGCTTGTGTTCTACTCCCGGGTCAGCAGATGCCGAAAGTCCGAAGCAGTCCAACAAGGAAGTAACTAACAACTCTATGCAAACTTCAGGTGTTTCAAATCGTTTCAGAATCTTTGTCGTTACACGTAGCCTGCCCCCTTCAATCTTTGGACAGCTTTGGACTTCCAGCTGCAAATGCTGAATGTGCAGAGGGGGCTGCAAACAACGTCACGTGCTTCACTGTGGTTCTCACATGCTGTCTTCAATGAGTACTCGCCAAGGTTCAAGCATTACAGGCCTGCCATTCTCTTCTTGTTGTATTGCGAGGTGACCAGGCTACCAGCATAGATGCAACGCCTGAGGCTGTGGATTGTCTCGAGCTTCTTCTTCTGGCGACGCATGGTGCCTGCCTCAACACTGAGTGCTGAACGCAATGGACTTCGTCCGCGATTCATTCGACTTTCATGTCCAGATTGTTCAGCTCGCACCTCGACATCTGAGGCTCGGACTTATGCAAATACGCTCGGCGCGGAACGAACAAAGAACCAATCCAAAAAAGGAACGGTAGCAAGACTATATCAAGCGTGATTGTTTACAGCCGCATTACATCATATAAGTCGGCCTTTTTTTTTTTTTAATTTGTGGGGCGTGGGAAGGTGACTTGGGGTTTCCGAAATTAGGGGTACCCTTTGTTGGGGAAACTTTTTGAATAATTCAAATTATATTATAGAACTGAGAATAGTAAAACCTTCGCATTTATTCATGATTTCCGAACGATTCGTTGCACTTAATGGGGCAATGGCAATTTCTTGATATTGAAATGGATTAGCTGCCACGAGGAAAAAGAATCCAAGAATTCTATTTCCGCATGGGTGGGATGTGAGATAAGACTATCAATCGGACGACAATGGGGGGTCTTGTACACACAGGATTCTCGTGAAAAAAATCTCTTATATAATATATGGATGATTCTTGAAAATATACATCAAAATTACTTATCATACGAAATTCCATCAAGAAAAATATATGGGGATGGGGAGGG